TGAATATCGATAGGGTTCGTTCACCCATGACCTCAATGCTTCACATTGAAAAAAATCTTTTAAAAATGGAAGGAAAAGGTCAATGTTGGTATATACAAATATATGAAAATATCTCATTGTAAATCAATAATACTAACCTTCACAATGACAGAAATATCGAACTCTATAATCAGAACATGGTGCTGGGAAATTATCGGCATTCTCACATTGTAAACCAGAATCTAATTTACATGTCAGTTGTTCTGCGTTACTTATAGATGATACATTATTAATAGTTGTACATTCTATCTTGGTCACTTTACCAACAGGACAGAATTTCTTTAATTCTTCTGGTGTCATTTTCTCATGTTCTCCACCTTCCATTTGGAACATTTCAGATGTTGGTGTATGGTTATTCACATATTTGGACCATCCATTTTTGCAAAAGTCTACAACAGAACAGAGTTCATAGTTAGGTCTATATCACAGAAGTTTTTATTCATTCATTGGTGTGATATATAAACAATCCTTGTAATGATTTTCAGTGTCAATTAATATGGTACTAATTATATATGTATTATATAAAGCAATCAGAATTAGTTATTTCTCGTTCCTTTGTTCATTGGTATTTTTTTAATTAGGGGGCTTCACCTATGAAGCCCTAGTTTCTCTACTTTTTAATTTGATACCATTTGCCGCCATCAATTTTAGACAAGTAATCATACGTCATATGTGTTTGACATACAATATCATCATTGCATCAAAATAGGTGACATCAATCGTAGAAATCACTATGTGATCTGGTTATATAGTGGCCAAACGTACAACTACTAACAGCCATTTTTTAATACACTGAAAATCCATATGTTGAAAATAAAGTATAGAACCACATTCAATACAACATGCAAAGATATGGTAATAGGTAGAGGAATAGAAAGATAAGTTCATGAAAATGGTTAATTAGCAAAGACACAACTATAATAGGGCTATACAACATGAAAAAAATATTCCTAATAAAATGTTGGCATATAAAAACTGATTATAACATGATACTTACTGGGAGGAGGAGTTATAATGGTAGGAATGTCAGTAATCCCTGGAGGTGTGCCCTCATTAACAGTTGTCTCACCTGTCAAAACATCACATCATATTAATAATACAAATATGCCTAGTTTAATCCTAATAGATTATTTTCAACAGATGGATTAAAAAAAAACCCCAAAAAACTGAGATCCTTGGGATATATTTTAAATTTCATCAAAATTGGATAAAAATTGTGATATCTAGTGGGTCTACAATTTTTCGTACAATCAGGGGTGGCATAATCCAGGAAGTTACAGGAATATTAAAATGAACCACAACCTTTGGATTATAAATATAAATTTCAAGTTTCATCAAAATCGGATGAAAATTGTGACTTCTAGAAGGTCCAAAACCTTGGTGTTACATACTTTTACACTATTTGCGTACAAGGAGTGGCCATTTTGTCTGTTAGTATCGGTCTGATTTTTACGAAATTCAAACTCAACCTTCATTGATATGTAACGGTGATATATTTAAACCGTTTTTAAAACTGAATACAAATTGTTACTTCTAGCGGGTCCACAAACTAAAATACGATTTTTCTAACAATCAGGGTCCATAATCCAGGAAGTTACGTTTTCGGCCGGCCATTTTGGTCCAATTTTCATGAAATTCGAACTCAACCATAATTCTGGAAGTGACCATCCAATATGTGCAAATATCAAAAGTATCCAAGATCTGGGGTTATAAACATGCATGTCAAGTTTCATCAAAATCAGATCAAAATTGTGAACTTTAGAGGGTCCACAATCTTGATATATCATATGTTTACATTTGCGTACGAAGGTTGTCCATTTTGTCCGGTAGTTTTGGTCTGGTTTTCACATATTTTGAACTCCACCAACATTACAGTGTAACAGTGATATAGTCAAACGTTTTTTTAAATCAGATAATAATTGTGACCTCTAGAGGGACCACAGGCTCAAAAGACGATTTTTCGTACAATCAGGGGCCATAATTCAGGAAGTTACGATCCGATATGCGCGAATATCAAAAGGAACCAAGATCATGGGGTTATAAACATGCATGTAAAGTTTCAACAAAATCGGATCAAAATTGTGACCTCTATAGGGTCCACAAGCTAAAAACGTGATTTTTCGTACAAACAGGGGCCATAATCCATGAAGTTTCGATCCGATACATGCCAATATCGAAAGAAGCCGAGATCTTTTGGGGATACACCTATATTTCAAGTTTCGTCGAAATCGGATAAGAATTGTGACTTGTAGAGAGTCCACAAACAATTGTGGACGGACGGACAGGGGCGACGGCATAATACGTCCACATGAAAATGTGGGCATATAAAAACGATCGACGGAGAACAGTCTCACATTTAACTGGATACTAAAAAACAGAAAACATTACTTTGTCGGGTGGTGTTGTGTCCATTACCATCACTTAGTGTAGATTTACCTGGTAAGATAAAAAGAGTATGTTTAATATATTTATGCATTATTATAGTACCTATATGTTCAATACACATTCAAAGCATCAATCCATAATAATGTAGGAGAAATTCTGGGGTTTCTTTGTAATCATTAACCAGCGGCTGCCAGGCAGGATACGCCCAAATTTTGCAAGAGATGGATACAGAACAAGCTAAAAACAAAAACGATTTTTTGTACAATCAGGGGCCATAATCCAGAAAGTTATGGTCATTCCGCAAATATCAAAAGGGACTGAGATTTTTGGAATATAAAGATATGTTTTAAGTTTCATCAAAATTGGATAAAAATTGTAGCCTCTAGAGGGTCCATAACCTTTGTATTACATACTTATACACAATTTGCATACTGAGAGCGGCCATTTTGTCGGGCAGTTTCATTTCTATTTTCCCGAAATTCGAATTCAACCTTCATTATAGTGGAATGGTGATGTATCTAAACGGTTTTTAAAATTGGAAAGAAAATTGTGACCTCTAGAGAATCCACAAGCTAACCAGCGACTGCCAGGCAGGATACGCCCACATTTTGCAAGAGATGGATAGAGAACAAGCTAAAAAAAAAGTGATTATTCATACAATCAGGGGCCATAATTCAGGAAGTTACAATCCGATATGCGCAAATATCGACAGGAACCAAGATCTTTGGGTTATAAACGTACATTTTAAGTTTCATCAAAATCGGGTCAAAATTGTGAACTCTAGAGGGTCTACGAGCTAAAAACGTGATTTTTCGTACAATCAGGGGCCATTATTCAGTCAGTTACGATCCAATATGTGCAAATATCAAAACTAACCGAGAACTTTGGGTTATAAACATGTATGTCATGTTTCATCAAAATCGGATCAAAATTGTGAACTCTAGAGGGTCTACAAGCTAAAAATGTGATTTTTCGTACAATCAGGGGCCATAAATCAGGCAGTTACGATCCGATATGCGCAAATATCAAAGGAAACAGGATATTTGCATTATAAACAAACATGCATTTCAAGCTTCATCAAAATCGGATCAAAATTGTGACCTATAGAGTGTCCACAAGCTAAAAACATGATTTTTCATACACTCAGGGGCCATAATCCATGAAGTTATGATCCGATACATGCCAATATCGAAAGGAACTGAGATCTTTGGGAGATAAACCTTTATTTCAAGTTTCGTAAAAATCAGATAAAAATTGTGACCTGTTGAAAATCAAGTATAGAACCACATTCAATACAACATGCAAAGATATGGTAATAGGTAGAGGACCTGTAGAGTGTCCACAAACAAATTGTGGACGGACTGACAGGGGCGACGACAATACACGTCCACATGAACATGTGGGCGTATAAAAACTCTACTGTGTTAACAAGCATATAGTTTTGTGAATTATGAAATGTGGGTGTATAAAAACTCTATCCTGTGCTTGCAATGTGGGCCTACAAAACAGACTATTCCTACCTTGGTTGGTTGTAATTGACTGATCTGAAAATAAAGATATCAAATGAAATAAAGATAAGATATGAAACCTGATTTGACTAACATGGTTGCATTGACAGGGACAATAATTCTGAATTTCAATAGGGTTCTGCCTAATGACCCCACGAATAATCCCTGCAAATTTAAAAACAAAATGAAGAACATACTGTAAGAAAAGCTTACATACAATTAAATTTACCAGAAATTAAGAAACCCCAGGAGCTTCAAGGGAATACTGATGGATTACAACTGTGTAAAGAAACTTTAGGGGGTGGGGTGTTATTGTACAGATTAGATTGTATTCAGATCTGCCAATCTATAATTTATATGAGTTGTACAGATTATAGCCTTTAATGAAGAAAGTTATTCCTGCTCAACCCCAGTATGAGGCTGACCAACTTCATATGGACAAATCTGAAAAGGCCCTATCCAAAAACATACTACATTTGGCTGAAATACATCAAGCAGTTTACAGTTTATGAAAAAATCTAAATTTGTCATTTTAAATCAAGAATGTTTGTAGAAGTCCAAGATAGCCATGAAAAATGCACAGGTTTTGTTCAAAGAATAATGTATGGCTGATATATAAGACATGAATAAAAGATTAATATCATGAGGAATTTTAACCTAGATAGTATAATAGGCAAGGTTTACAAAGCCAACAAAATCAGGAAACATTTACTGTGAGTCTCATACAAATAGTAAAAGTTGTCTTATTTCCATCCATAAACCAGATATCTTATCATGTGCCAAAGATAATAGATGTTAATGTTGAACGCCAAAAAACACTGTATTTAGCATATAGATATAACATAGATTAAATCAAACAACATCAACTGGAGAGCACAAAAATGCTACATTTTGAGTAACTCCTAATCAATTTGTTAGCATTTTTCTTACAATTTGTATTGGAAACTGTTAACCAATTGTCTGAAGTGAAATTATTCCTTGAGATTCACTCCAAATTTGATCAAAATCCATTCACTGGAAGTAAATCTACTGCATTTCAGAGAATCAACAATTTCATATCTTCTGCATTTAAGAAACAAATGAAATTTTAGATGTGTATAATGACTTATAGATACCTTGTGTTGTTGGTGGTTCTGTAAACGACATGCTGGTAACAGTTTCTACAATTAAACAATAGCTAAATTGTGTGCATTGTTATATTTATAAAACATAATGTTCTGTTATATGTATAGAACATAATGTGTTATACATTTGCATTATTATATACCCATAGAACATTTAAAATACTTTTATATTACAAGTATAGAACTTAGTATTCTGTTATATGTATAGATGATAATGATGATTGATGATGATTGATGATGATGATGATGATAATAATACTAGGTGGAGAGTACTTATGAATAGCATTACATACGTAGCCTAGTGCTGTGCCATGTGGTATGTATGCATTGATAAGTAAGGGTTAGAACTTTAAAGTTTATTTTTTGTCAAACAGGAAGCCAATGAAGAGATTTTTAAAGTGAAGAAACATGACAATCATTTTGGGAGATGGTGATAATTTGATGCTGCTGTATTCTGAATCTTTTGGAGATGAAGGATGTTTTCAGCTGAGGTACCTGCCAACAGGCTGTTGCAGTAGTCTAATTTGGAGATTATGTTACAGTATGTTTAATATACATGCATTATTATAGTACATATATGGTGGTGACAGACGAAGGGCCTGACAAGGACAGCTGTCTAGTTGTTCGGATTGGACAAAAAATTGGGGTCCTGTGTACACATGGCGTCCATGTAAAAGATCCCTTGGCAGTTGAATTCGATATAACAGCAAGCACCGGTGTCCGGGCAAAATTTCCCTCATAGCACAGTGTGGCGTATATGACTGTCTTCATTCGCCCAGTAGGAGCAGAACAGTAGGACGTTAAACCTCATTTCATTTATGTACATATCTTCAATACACATTTAAAATTGAAATCTTGAGGCAGCTGAGTCAAGACATAATAATGCAGGAAATATTCTGTTGTTTTTCTTTTGTATTCATTAAAACTGTAGCCTCTACTGTATTACAATTTCGTTTGTGAAGTATGAAATGTGTTTGCAACGTGGGCCTATAAAACAAACTATTCCTACCTTGTTTCTTAGTGGTTGTAATTGGCTGATCTGAAAATAAAGATCAAATGAAATAAAGATAAGATTGACATGAAATCTAATTTAAACAAGCCAACAGTGAGGCTGATGTCCCCCGCCGAAATCACAAAATAAATAAATGACACATATTAATTAATCGCAAATTTATTTTTTTCAAAAGTATCGAGCAATCAAACTATACACTAAGTTTCATCACTCTCTATCAGATAGAATCAAGATTATCTTGTCCCAAAGCATCGACCAATGAAACTGATTAGCTCTGCTTAGCTTTAGCTTGAAATGTTAATCATTGAAATCAGTCAAGACATAATTCACCTAATGAACATCTACATCAGGTATAAACATTCTAACTCAATTAAAAGCAGAGTTTTTATGTTCCAAAGTCTTGACCAATCAAATTGCTTATCGCTCCTTAGCCCAGGCAGAAAATTCGCACAATCGAACTTAGTCAAGGTAATGATATAATGAATCTATATTCAGAGTTTCATCGCTCTCACTTCATTATAACCAAAGTTATCGTGCCCCTAAAGCATCAACCAATCAGATAGCTTATCTCTGCCTACCATAAGCAGACAATGTTTATCATCGAATTCCATCAAGGGATTCACCTAATGAATGCCTACACCAAGTTTGAACATTCTACCTCAATTAGAAGGAGAGTTATTGTGTTCCAAAGTCTCGACCAATCAAATTGCTTATCGCTCTGCTTACCCTCAGCAGAAAATGTTCATTATCGAACTTAGTCAAGGTATTGATGTAATAAAGCTATACACCAAGTGTCCTCACTCCCACTTAATTAGAACTAAAGTTATTGTGTCCCAAAGCATCAACAAATCAAATTGCTTATCTCTGCTTACCCTAAGCATAAAATGCTCATCTTCGAACTCCATCAAGGCATTGACCCAATAAACACCTACACCAAGTTTGAACATTCTAGCTCAATAAGAAGGTGAGTTATTGTGTTTCAAAATCTTGGCCAATCAAATTGCTTATCGCTCTGCTTACCCGGAGCAGAAAATGCTCATTATCGCACTTAGTCAAGGTATTGATGTAATGAAACTATACACCAAGTTTCATCACTCTCACTTAATTAGAACTAAAGTTATCGCATCCCAAAGCATCAACCAATCAAATTGTTAATCTCCTCTTACCCTAAGCGGAAAATGCCCATCTTCGAACTCCATCAAGCTATTGACCTTATAAACACCTACACCAAGTTTGATCATTCTAGCTCAATTAGAAAGAGAGTTATTGTGTCCGAAAAAGTGTGACGGACATTTTAATAGTACCCTGCTTTCTTCGAAAGGCGGGGGACAAATAAGACTATGGTTGAATTGACAGGGACAATAATTTTGAATATCAACAGGGTTCATTGAATAATGAATTCCTGCAAATTTAAAAACAAAATGAAGAACATAATTTGTTTTTAAGAAAAGCTTGCATACAAATAAATTCACCAAGGTATACTGATTGACTACAACTATGTTAAGAATATAGGAGGGGAGGGGATATTGTACAGATTAGATTGTATTCAGATCTGCCAATCCATAATTTATATGAGTTGTACAGATTATAGCCTTTAATGATTGTACACAGAAGAAAGTTATTCCTGCTCAACCCCAGTATGAGGCTGACCAACTTCATATGGACAAATCTGAAAAGGCTCTATCCAAAAACATACTACATTTGGCTGAAATGCATCAAGCAGTTTACAGTTTATGAAAAAATCTAAATTTGTCAATTCAAATCAAGAGGTTTTTTAGAAGTCAAAGATAGCCATGCAAAGTGCACAGCAGCTTTGTCTAAAAAAAAAAACCAACACAGATAGCCAAATGGAAAACGTGGTTGTTTACCAAATTTGACAAAGATCCTTTCTGCCTTCTAGAATTCTAATCTCTATTCTTATCACAAAATGCATTCAAAACCTTCTCGCTAAAAAAAAGAAGAGCGCTGAATGCTGCATATGGATATGGTTCGTCCAACCATGACTTCAATGCTTCACATTGAAAAAATCTTTTAAAAATGGACGGAAAAGATCAATGTTGGTATACACAAATATATGAAAATATCTCTTTGTCAATCAATAAAACTAACCTTCACAATGACAGAAATATCGAACTCTATAATCAGAACATGGTGCTGGGAAATTATCAGCATTCTCACATTGTAAACCAGAATCTAATTTACATGTCAGTTGTTCTGCGTTACTTATAGATGATACATTATTAATAGTTGTACATTCTATCTTGGTCACTTTACCACCAGAACAGAACTTCTTTAATTCTTCTGGTGTCATTTTCTCATGTTCTCCACCTTCACTTTGGAACATTTCAGATGTTGGTTTGTGGTCATTCACATATTTGGACCATCCAGTTTCACAATGGGCTCCAACTAAACAACACAATTTTAAATAATTTAATAGTCTTATAAACCAGCAGTCTACTTGCTGCTGCTTCAATTGTTTGTCTACATAAAGATAGAAATGCTGGCTGGAGTTGGAAGTATATATCCAGGTTTTGTTCAAAGAATAATGTATGGCTGATATATAAGACATGAATCAAAGATTAATATCATGAGGAATTTTAACCTAGATAGTATAATAGGCAAGGTTTACAAAGCCAATAAAATCAGGAAACATTTACTGTGAGTCTCATACAAATAGTAAAAGTTGTCTTATTTCCATCCATAAACCAGATATCTTATCATGTGCCAAAGATAATAGATGTTAATGTTGAACGCCAAAAAACACTGTATTTAGCATATAGATATAACATAGATTAAATCAAACAACATCAACTGGAGAGCACAAAAATGCTACATTTTGAGTAACTCCTAATCAATTTGTTAGCATTTTTCTTACAATTTGTATTGGAAACTGTTAACCAATTGTCTGAAGTGAAATTAGTCCTTGAGATCCACTTCAAATTTGATCAAAATCCAATCACTGGAAGTAAATCTACTGCATTTCAGAGAATCAACAATTTCATATCTTCTACATTTAAGAAACGAATGAAATTTTAGATGTGTATAATGACTTATAGATACCTTGTGTTGTTGGTGGTTCTGTAACCATGCTGGTAACAGGTTCTACAATTAAACAATAGCTAAATTGTGTGCATTGTTATATTTATAAAACATAATGTTCGGTTATGTATAGAACATAATGAGCTGTTATATGTATAGAACAATAATGTGTTATACATTTGTATTATTATATACCTATAGAACATTTAAAATACTGTTATATTACAAGTATAGAGTATTCTGTTATATGTATAGATGATAATGATGATTGGTGATGATGATGATGATGATGATGATGATAATAATACTAGGTGGAGAGTACTTATGAATAGCATTACATACGTAGCCTAGTGCTGTGCCATGTGGTATGTATGCATTGATAAGTAAGGGTTAGAACTTTAAAGTTTATTTTTTGTCAAACAGGAAGCCAATGAAGAGATCTTTAAAGTGAAGAAACATGACAATCATTTTGGGAGGTGGTGATAATTTGATGCTGCTGTATTCTGAATCTTTTGGAGATGAAGGATGTTTTCAGCTGAGGTACCTGCCAACAGGCTGTTGCAGTAGTCTATTTTGGAGAGTATGCCTTAGCACTGGTGTCCGGGCAAAATTTCCCTCATAGCACACTGTATGGTGTATGCCTGTCTTCATTAGCCCAGTCGGAGCAGAACAGTAGGATGTTAAACCCATTTCATTTCATTTCATTTATAGTACATATCTTCAATACACATTTAAAATTGAAATCTTGAGGCAGCAGGAAAAATTCTGTTGTTTTTCTTTTGTATTCATTAAAATTGTAGCCTCTACTGCGTTAACATTTTTTTTGTGAAGTATGAAATGTGTTTGCAATGTGGGCCTATAAAACAAACTATTCCTACCTTTAGGGGTTGTAATTGGCTGATCTGAAAATAAAGATTAAATGAAATAAAGAAAAGAAGAGCGCAGAATGCTGAATATCGATAGGGTTCGTTCACCCATGACCTCAATGCTTCACATTGAAAAAAATCTTTTAAAAATGGAAGGAAATGGTCAATGTTGGTATATACAAATATATGAAAATATCTCATTGTAAATCAATAATACTAACCTTCACAATGACAGAAATATCGAACTCTATAATCAGAACATGGTGCTGGGAAATTATCAGCATTCTCACATTGTAAACCTGAATCTAATTTACATGTCAGTTGTTCTGCGTTACTTATAGATGATACATTATTAATAGTTGTACATTCTATCTTGGTTACTTTACCACCAGAACAGAACTTCTTTAATTCTTCTGGTGTCATTTTCTCATGTTCTCCACCTTCACTTTGGAACATTTCAGATGTTGGTTTGTGGTCATTCACATATTTGGACCATCCAGTTACGCAACGAGGTCCAACTAAACAATAAAATTTTAAATAATTCTTAGCCTTACAAAACTAGCAGTCTAAACTTATTACTGGATGATTTTTTTTCCACAAGAAGTACATAACAATAGAAAAAATATATCGCAGCATTTTATCTATATAATTATAGTTTGTAGAATTTGAATATGAGATAGACTATATCTTTAACAGAATTTTCAAAAAATGAGTATCTAATGACATTACCTTTAAAAATCAAGACGTGCATGCTACAAGTTTGATTGAAGTCCACTCACTATAACTAAAATTACTACCTTTAAAGGAATCAACAATTTGGTCACCAATGCACAGGTAAGAGAAATGAATGCTATTTTAGCTATATATATAACACGTTATAAATACCTTGTGTAGTTGTTATTACAGGCCTGGTAAAATTTGCTACAAATAAACAATAACTAAATGGTACTCCTTGTTCTATCACTGTTATTAATTACTGTATAGAACATAATGTTGGCCTACATTGAATATACTTCATATATGTTATCAATATAAATTTAATATTACAGTATGTTCAACTTAATATTACAGTATGTTTAATATGCATTTAATATAACATTATATACAGTTTAATACATTATGTTCAGTTTAATATTACATTATGTTTAATATACCATTCACTATTACATTATAATATACATTAAATATTACAGTATTTCAATTTAATATTACAGTATGTTTGATTTTATTACAGTATGCTTGAAATACATAAAATATTGCAGGTTGTTTAATATAATGAATATTGATATCAATCAATGTACTGTAATATTCCATATATATAAAAATCACATTTAAATTCTGTGAAAATAATTGTCATCTAAAATAAATCTGCCTTTTGTCCTCAACTGTTATCTCTTAGGAAAAAGATGTAGAAATAATCCTGAATAATATTCGTATGGTTCCAATTTGGTTAAAACTATTGTACACACAATTTTAGGATGATAAATTTAGCCAAAAAAAAATATGAACAAATAATTTACTCTACTAACCACAATCTAGTTCATCATTGTAACAATCAACTATACCATCACACCGAGAAGAACCAGTGATACACTCTCCATTTGAACACTGAAACTCGTCTGGACGACAATGTATACAGTCACAGTGACAAGTAGACAGATTTAATCTGGAAGATCCAGCCTATAAAATCATAAAATTATGTTTTAGCTTACATTTTATTAACTTATATAATTTTAGTAAACACTTTTCATTTGATGAAAGTTAATTTGAACCCAAATGGCAACATATATAAAATTATGGCACTTTAACTTATATTATTTGTTTTTATTATTTATTATACAGAGAATTTGCATGCAATATTTACAGATTCAACCCTTTTGGAATTGAATAGAGTTCTTCTTAATTATGCCCTGACAAACAATGTCACCAAATTCTAACAATTCTGAAATTCCATTGGGTTCCTTCTGTAAGCCCATCAAACCATGCTTGTTTCTGTATGCAATATTCAAAGTTTTCTTGAAAAGCAATTGAAACTGAAAGTTGTTTTAACCTATGAGCTTTGTGAAAATGTATTATTACTGGCAACAAAAACTTTACCGTTCCACAATCAGGACATGTCTTTGAAAGACATCTGACTTCTCCATTCATACACTGACAGGTATCACAATTTGAATTCTGGGCAAGATCACCAGGCTAAAAATTATAATGTAAAAATTAGTAAACAAAATATATTTGAACTGAATTAGTTTCTTCACATACACAGCTGCATTAACTTTTTCCTATTTCCACATAAATTGTTAATAGGGGTTAAGTTTTTGTACCAATTGGGTTAACGATCATACATCATATCATACAGAGTGCTATGCGAGAAATTTTGGACTTACAGCAACGCCTACTCTTATAATATTTTCCATGGGACCTTTAACATGTTGCCAAATGTAAACTTCATTTCTCCAGCCCATTTAAATGACTAGACAATTTTTCTAGACATGGTGAAAACCATGCTGGAAAATACTGAGGAACTTTCTCAGTCAACACAGAGATCTAATACATTACCTTTTGTTTAATGAGCCAGATTTAATAATATACTGATATATAGGCAAATATAGATCTAAACATGTTGAAAGGGGGCGAACAATTTTAATCACTATTCGCCCACTAGTCTTTTGTGATAATTTTTTTTATTCATTACTCTTTTGTTTATTGGGTGTTATCGCCCCCTTCAGGATATGTGTAACTGGACATGTCAATTTTTTTCTACTTACAGGAATGATATTTCCTTGGATAAGACAAGGACATCGACTCTTAGTAACACATCGACTACCATCACAATAATATCCTTTCTTACATCCTTGACTTGGACAATTACTAAAATCCATGCCAGCATAACATAATGGAATTTTGGTCACAATGGTTGGCACTACAAAAAATATGATATACAGAATTAGTAATATTATCTATTCTAATGTAATTCCCAAGATTATCAACAAAATGTATGGAATATAATTAACATTTAGTCTTATATATACACTACCATCTGTATATGAATGTATTTTAAGTTACAAACATTTTAAGTTACCAGATCCGATGATTCAAACCCAATAGAAAAAATAAATTTATGGAGATATCAATTTGTATAATACAAAGCTAAAAATTCATTATATCAGTAATGTATCTATACTCATGTCGTACTTGAAATAAAATATTGTTTAAATTTAAAGCAACAGAACAAGTTTACCCCTCGGCCTAAAACATTGCACGACTTGTTGATGGCCCTGCAACAGGTGTAAATTAACTCCCCCAAACAATTGGGTAAATAGAGGTGTTACAAAAATAATATTAAAAGGGTATGGTAGGAACTAAATATAGAAATATTGCCGAGGGTGTGAGGTCTCCTGATAGGTCCACGGACAAAGTCATACATGTTAGTGTTAGCTTTAAAATCGTTGCCAACTAATTCTGCTGGGCAGGTTTTAACACATATTTCAGACAACCAATTTTTGGCAAGATAACATCAAAATATACCATTGAAATATTCTGATTTCTGATACAGTTTATCTTTCCTATGAACAAAGACACCAAGTTTCTGTATCAAGTTCGCAAAATGGGAACAAAAAGATAACTATGCAAAACATCTAAATGTATTCCAAAAAAAAAAAATCTAAAAATTTTGAAATTCAATTCTACAATGAGAGGTAACAAGGCGTTTTAAAAATTTCTTTTATTCACAAGATACCCCAAATTTGAACGTAATCCAAAATTTGAATGGGTTCTCTCTGATGCTCAAATAAACAAGAAAATGCAAGATAATCATCATTAGAGAAAGTAAGACAGTGAAAAAAGAATACTAAAGATGAAAGATATTTAAGAAAGTATAAAATATGGAAACATACCACATTCTGGAGAGTTCTTAAGACATCCAAGTCTGGCTTCATAATTATAGCATAGTTTGTTAGAACCAGATACTTTCCAATTGCTACAAACCAACCCATTCCATAAATTGCATTCCACATTCTGATCAGTGTGATAGAAAGGAGTATGGTCTGGGGTGGCAGTTCTGCATTCAATTTTAATTGGATGTTGACAATATAAGCTCCTCAACTTCAGTGTTTCAATTGGTTCTCTATCTCCGGAAGATGCAGGGGTAACAGCATGGGAGTCCACCCACTTATCCCAAAGTATACAATTATCTGCACAAAAATAAGAGCACTATACAAATCATAGATATCTGATTTTTTTAAAAAAGGAACTTTGTAAACATTAGATTCAATTAAATATTCAGTAGTTATTTTCTTAATAATAAAAATATAAAAAAATGTATAAATAGATACATGTAGCCATACGTTATATTATCCCATGAAGGTCACAGGAATTACTGACAAATAATAGAATTAGCATGACATAATCTTTATTCTTTTAGCCATTAGGGTATATTGTACTTCACCAAAGAACTGAAGATTTTATTCTCGAACTAGATATTGAGGGTCTTCTTTTATTTTTATAGTCACATATTATCATTGTGTTGAGAATCCAATCTAAACAGAATCAAAATGGCATTAGTCTAGGTCTGTAACAATATACCGGTAGGCTTACACAGATATACTGCGATACGTTTAATCGAGACTATGTTTTTTATCGTACTGACTTTAGTAATGATGATCAAGACTAGGCCGAAAATTCTATCGCTAAAATCTTGGTTCAGAGTGGATCAATTTGCCTGAAATTTTCAACAAATTCCTTTTATATTATCTAGTTTTTAACTATTACAGTGAGACCTGCCAGCTCTTTAGCTAATCTCCCATAATGTAACTTTAATTAAACAGTCCAAATAATATCTGAGTAATTCTTAACCAATTTGATAAAAGAAAACACCCTTTTATGGTTAGTTCTGATAGAATTCTTATCCTGGACAGAAGTCAGTCATCAGTATTATAACAATTACCTACCTGGTGTTAAATTAGTTACTTGACTAGGAGTAACTTCTGGGATAACTATAGGTCCCGTATTTGGTTTAAGTGCTGTAAGAGTTAGGATATTGTTACAAAATAGCTTATTAAGCAATGAAACATACCAGGGGATTAATCGTTCATTAAGCAGTAAAAATTGGTCTTACACTTAAAGTTGTTGAGCAATATTCAATAATGTGAACTGAGAGAGTGATCATTATAAATTGATCAAAATCAATTATGTGTCTTTCTTTCCTTTCAATAAGCTAAATTTCAAATTTCAAAATATCTCAGGATATGTTCAATTGCAAGACCTAGTGTGTCAACAAAATGTGAACCGACGGACAAACATATGTCATAAAGATGACCATTAACATTTTTAAAAAATATTACAAATTAAAGAAAGCATCAAAAAATATTTCAAAAACAAAAGCTGCCGAGCTGCACTGATTTACAAAGACGGCTTTGATTTTTACATATCGTTAAAAGTTGAATTGCAAGATTTTCCAGCATAGAAATAGAAGGTAAGGATTCCAAAATAGCCTTAGAACACAGGTGGGGATAGAGTGGTATTTTCCTATTGCAACTTAATAAACACTCTAGGACGGTGAGAGGATATTGCCCGATCAGACAACGTTCCTAAAGGAACTACAGAAAGGTAAGATGTTAAACTTCTATACATTTTATAACATGCATCATTACTTACTAGTAGAAGCCCCGAAACAGCCATGTATTTCCATTCTGAGAGCAATTTTACCATGCCATGTTTGAGGCAGTATACGAATATATTGAGCTCTAATTGGACGAACAAATGTGTTAGATACTGGCGTCTCACTATCAAAGTTGGCACTGAAAACCTGAAAAATAAATCACAAAAAATCCTCTACTACGACATGTAGAAATAGATAACCAGTATAAGAAAAAAATAGTGAAATGATAAAACAAGTTTCTAGAATAGTCCTTGTGATTTCCTTCAAGCTTTGCTTCAGGTTGTGATCATGAATGGCCAATTCCCATTATAGTATAGTGTGATCTGTACATCCAGGGAATATAAATCTCAGTCTATGGTGTTATCTGTCCGTCCATCAAAAGAAAACCATATTCAGGATTATAACTTGGAATTATGTTAAAATAGTGAAATGATAAACCAAGTTAAAGCTGGAATAGTCCTTGTGGTTTTCAATTGCCATCACATACAAACTGTCCACAAGAGTAAAGACAAATAATAACACAGATGTGATATTTCAGGGAATCAAACCTGTTATTTCATGCTCATAGAACCTTTCATTCTAGCTCAATAATGCTTTGTCAGGTGTGGTGACTAGCAGTAACCTTGTGTTAGTATAACCCCATGTTCCTGAAGCAACGACTGCCAGTTTTACAACGTTGCTAGATTACTTTGCAATTCCTGAACTTATAGCTACGTTTTCTCCCTTTACTGCACACACGCGAACAGTAGCATCCAATCAGAAGTTGTGACACTGACACACTCAAATCAAATATAGCACCCTCCACGGCAACATTGACATTGAATGAACCTTGAACTTGACTATCACAGGTAGACATTTTAGCTGGAAAGTGCGAGATTTGGTATTCACGATGATCGAGGAATCTGATAGGCTCACAAGCTGGGTGAATACCCAATAGAAATTAGTGCTGAAATATGCAGGGTATTACATGAAGGGCTTGATAAGATGTACAGAGTTAAAGCGAGATAAAGCCTTCTATTGAAGATGGGATAACCCTGTCTATTATAACTAAACGCAGATGCAGTGACAACTTCCCACAGTACTTTATTTTTCTTGTTGTTTTCAAGCAAGTATTAAGTCATTCAATAAAAATCTGAAGATGAGCACTTATACAGAGTTAAATTGTGTAGGTTATCATTTCCATGATATTTTCACATTGTGATATCTAATTTGCATACATCCACAAGACTTTTTTTTATATTTACCATCCTAATGCTTTTTTCAAATTTTATACAGGTATATAAGAAGGGAGGCCATACTAATATAACAATCCTTTTGTAATCTATATATGTTTAACAATCTTTTTGTAATTATCTTAATTAAAACAAAACCGCAATGCCTCAATATTCTATATCAGACTGGATTGCATCTATTAAAACAAATGTTCTTTCTCTTTCACATTATCCTTGAAATAATAATATTTATTAAGTCAGGCTAAAGATTAACAACATCCGGCCTGCGATACTAATAAAAATTAATGGCTACCTTTTGGTGACCAGGTTGATCTGAATACGTTGTCCATCTGCTGCCATCACTTGAGAAAGTCACCATGTAGGAAGTCACATAATTAGGAATGTGTGGACGACCTTGCGTTGTTATAGCGCTGATTATTTTGGGTTCTCCAAAATCAACCTAAAAATTGGAATCAAACATGATAATAGCAGAAGAAGCCAGATCATTCATGTATATCTCAAAAATTAAAAACATATGTTTTTTTTAACATAAAGACTGTTATAACTAATTAGGAATGATAAATGGGAAGGTCTGCAATATAATGATAGAATAATTATTCCCTTATTTTCCTAAGAAACCAATGCAAAATTTAAATGGCCATAATTGATTATTTGAATCATTTTTCAGTCTAATGTGTCTGGAAACAATTTTTGCTTCCCCATGGTCACACCCATCACTGTTGTATTTTTTGTACAGACTTATTGGAAAATCCAATTTCTCAAAGACCCATCAACCTCATATTTATTGTAATAAATCACTATTAGAACATTATAACAACATTCTGACAAACATGAATCAATCAATCTGATTAAAACATGTACCCTATTTCATTTTGTTTTTTTATAGTTTAAAATTTCTTTTTACTTGTCTTTACCACACTAGGATCTGGAAGAGTTGTTATATATCCCATGTTCTGTGGTTGATGCGTGTGGTGCATGAAACTGTGGGTATCCCACTAGAAACATAAACACCGATTGGTCAATCAAATGTCTGATAATCATAGGGTCAAAGACCGTAAGTATGCCCCCTGACGTGACCTTCCACTACAACCGATCAGATTTTCATGTAGTGGAGGCCATCGAAAGTATAAAAAAAAAAACAAAACGAAATATCGATCTATATTTGAATCAGATTGTGAATGAATATATCAATTTTAGTAAAATATATTAATAGATAAATGACATCATATTCCGATATCTAGGAGAAGACATTAAAGCTGTATTGCTCTAACCTGCAAGAATTGTTTTCTATTATCATCTGCTGCTAACCAGCCTGTGGTAGAACCTAGTCGGGCTGCATATGGTACATGTAGACTATCATAGAAAGATGAAGCTGTAATCATGTTGTCCAATATCATATGATTCTGCATACCCATCTCTTCGCTACAATTAACTACAAAATAAACCAGAACCAAAACATAATTTCAGGAAAAGTTATATAAATGATGCTCTTGTCAAACATATTCTCTGTACAGTGTATATATAAGCTAGGTTTTTTTTATTAAAGGGTTTATGGCTCTATTCTTTTGAACCTTAAATTAGATGCCCATATTAATGTAATATAAATGATAAAGTGATTTATATTCAATTTTAAATGTTTTTATTGTAATTTCTGATCAATTATGTTCGGTGAAATATGTGAACAGTCCAAACAGTCCAAATTGAACGGCAGTCATTTATGCCTGCTTAGTCCATACTATACAATTTTGTGAACCAGCCATTACTAATTACTTTAGTAGGATATGTTTTGTTTTGTACTAATACTATAATATGCATTATGTCTTAAATATTGTATATTAAAATGATCCTATAGGATCCCATATTTCATGGCAAGATAACAACATTAATATTGATTTTAATGGACCAATATTGAATTCTAATTCATGCTTTTAATATCGAATTTTATGGAAAATATCGAGCCAGAGATTCAGCTCGTTTAATATCAATAATAATAGGAAAGGTATTGTTTGAATACCATTAAAATGTTGCATAAACAATAGTTTTACTATTTGTTTAACACCAATAATGTTATCAATCCATGGTGTATAGTTTACCTGTTGGTGTTGATGGTGTTACCAATGAAACAGGTGTAGGTATTACACTTGAACTTACTGTTGGAGGAATAGCTGAAAAAAGCAAATTGACATTTTAAACTAATTTCAGATTTCAATGGAAATCACTTTTAATGAAATCTAAAATCTCTCCCCATCACTTTCATTTCCATACCACAGAATACTTAAACATTCACAAGGTGTTTTTGCAGATAATGTGATTTATGCAATGAACAAATATTTTTCAGTTTACCTAGTTTTGTTTCATACATTTAAAGTGGATTTATCAAATAAAAAATATTGATGGATTGTAGTCTATAATATAATCGTCACTAACCTTGACATTCACAGAAATATCGAACTCTATAATCAGAACATGGTGCTGGGAAATTATCAGCATTCTCACATTCTAAACCTCCATCTAATGTACATGTAAGTATATCTCCTTTACTTTCAAACGATACGTTATCAATCGTTGTACATTCTATCTTGGTCACTTTACCACCAAAACAGAATTTATTTAATTCTTCTGGTGTCATTTTCTCATGTTCTCCACCTTCCATTTGGGACAGTGCTGATGTTGGTGTGTGGGTATTTACATAGTGAGACCAGCCTTTGATACAAGGCCTTACATGAGGAGCTGTGAAAAGAAAGATGCAATTCCTTCATCAACATAAATTATAGTGTCTTATCCTTGACTTCAAGCTGCTTAACCAAATGTGACCAATGGTTGACCCAAATTAGTGGTATGCAAGCACACAGGACCAACACGTGGAGTAGACATTGCAAGCAACAAAAGAATTTTCAAATGAAATTAATGGGTCCTGGGGCTGGCCATAGGTAATATGTGAGAGTGAGAAAAATACTTCAATATATAACCATTGTGAATGACATACCTTCACACCCAATGACACCAAACCGTAGAGCAATGGCACCATTCCATGATACAGGTCGTAATCGGATATATTTGGCTGTTGTGGGAATAAGTTGTTGTGTTACTAAACTCTTATCATCAAAGTTGGCACTGAAAATCTGCCAAAAGATAAAATTAAAATAAACAACAGCTGACAGTGACTGTTACCACTAGATCAATGGTCAACCTGTAACCATAATGTGATAAAGATTCCTTCTGAAACTCTTTTCTTATTCTTGATAACTTTTTTCCTGAATTTTTAAATCAAAATGGATGACTTATCCACGCCATAAATACTGCCATCAGTAATTATTTTTGTAGATATATAACTATCTTTATTTTGGTGAATATTCATAACTCTTACTTTCTGAACTCCTGGCTGTTCTTCATAATATTTAAATTGGGTGCCATCTGTTGAATACTCAATCTTATAGGCCTTAATCCACTGATTAAATCCTTCTCGTCCCTGAGTTCGAATATTTGTAACTACATGAGGTTCATTAAACCTCACTTCAATCCATTGGTCTTTGTCATTAACCTTAGCCACCCAGGCTCCTGTGTAGACGCTCGTTGGATTGGTACCAATGCGGGATCGTTCAGGTCCAGAATATGATGACAGACTTGAAGATGATAAAAACTGATTGTCGGGAGTGTATATGGTAGTCACATGCATCATATTTCCTCCACAAACTGTTTTAAAGTAAGATTCAAGAGATATAATCCTGCATATATGTATTTTAATTTATTACTATCTCTTTAAACATAGAAATCAGTGCTGGTTGTGTGGTAAGATAGAACACTTGACTAACAACCAGAAAGTCCCAGTGCTCAAATCCCACCATAGGCCAAGAAGTAGCTTTAGAAAAAGTGGATGTACAAATTGGTAGTATGTGTAAAATATCTAAAGGCTTTTGGAATTTGAAGAAAAGTATGTGGGTATGACTCTGTCTGAGGTAAATCATTCCTCTCACAAAGCACACCTGAACAGGTACAAAATTACCATATGTTAGTATCACAATAACCTCAATAAAGTGTTAATGAGGCTTTAACAGCATTTCATTCTATTGTAAACAAGACAATAACACAGAATTATTTATTGATGTGATAGTTACCTGGTGATGGATAAGATGGTATAAAGTATGTGATATTTACCTGTTGATAGATAAGATTGGTATAAAGTATGTGATATTTACCTGGTGGTGGATAAGATGGTGGTGTAACAATGTTATTGGTTGTTGGTGATACAGTCGTTCCACCTATAAATATACATAAAATCTTATTAATAAATAGCACAGGCACTACATGCGCAACTGTTAATTAATTAATAAATAAGTTAAATTATAATATCCCAGTCTTTATTTTACAGGTTGTGGGTTTAGAAGGAAGTATATTTTCTCACCAGTGGTAATAGATGCTGTTGCTGTTGTATAAATTGGAGGTAAAGTAGGTGTAATATTGGAACACTGAATATTCAATGGGTTACAGTAGAATCGTACTTCATAGTCTACACATGATGTCCCAGAGTGCTGTTTGCTATTGTCGCATGTCAAACCACTGTATTTTAGGTCACAGATGACATCTGTTTGATGTCCGTTGCTGACAGATACTTGGCTCACAGCTTCTCTACATTCAATTGCAGTTATTTGATTGATGGGACAGAATTTGTTAATACGGATTATATCTGTTAACAATTCAGTTTCACCAAGCTAAAAAATCAAGAGGATAACTAAAATAGTTAGCTAAAATAAGCAGCAGAATCTGGTGATATAAAATGCTTATATGCCGATTAGAAAGGTTGCAGATTTTCATTGTCAAATATTATGTTTAAAAGTTTTGAGCAAAGTTCATTCTATCCTCTTTACATACAAAACTCATTATAAATGTATCTTCTGTCCCTATATTTGAAAGTAAAAAAAAATTCAGTGGGAATTGACAGAAAAATCAAGCACAAAATTGATAAGATATTCAGGTCCTACTTAGGAATTCAGAAAGATGGGACCACAAACAACAATATTGCTGGCCATTGAAACACAACATAAAGTTCAAAAGACTGTCCAAAATTGGATTTCTATGGAAGAGTCAAATTTTACTAATGAAATTATCTACCTTATTTAATAAATAAATAAATAACGAGAATCCGCTTAAGCTAAGAAAACACCTACACTATTTGGTTTGTGGTTATTTATCCACTCTGTCCAACCACATGTCACATTATACTTTGGTACTCCAACTGATACTGTTGATGGTGTAGGTGGTGTAGATTGTTCAGTATAAATACCTGTAGTAAGACCTACAAAAAAAGGGTTAAAAATCTGATACTCATCTATCCTATGGAACATATACATATCTGAATACAGATTTATAAGGCTACATCTATCTATAGCTAACTCTCCCAACTTATTACTAATCTTGTTTCATTCTGTTCACTTTCCTGCACAAAGAGTTGAATTTGAAGGCCAACTTGTTTGCGAACTTGGCTCATTCACAGTCACACTGGAACAACATTGTTGTAGCATTTCTAAGATTTTCGTTGCTTTCTTGTTGTTTTAATAGTAGGTCCATCATCATGTTCCTGAAGATGTATGTAGTTAAGGCGAGATCAAGCCTTCTATTGAAGATGGCCCATCATATGATTTCTGTTGTTTTATTCTTGCTTGTTGTTTTAATAGTACACCTATCGATCATATGACTTGTGTTGTTTTCTCCTTGTCATTTTACTATAGTAGGCCAATGATATGATTCTGTTGTGTTTTTGTATTTATTTTAATAGCTGTCATATGCTGTTTCTTTTTATTGTTTTAATAGTATTATTATTAATAGCCCAGATCTGGTCCAAAGAGATTCTTCAACATGAAAGCTATAAAATCTGCACATTTCACATACCACAATACAGATGTCCTTTATAAGACTGTTTTTGTTGTACGACTCATGGAGCTACGAATCAATACCATTCAAAATATTTAAAATTTTGAGAGTTTTTAATCCATTATTCAGTACTATAAATTTTAAAGCTCAACGTTATCCAATTCTAGATTAAAAGAAATAACTCACTTCCAGTACAAGGGCAGTAAAAACGGACTTCGTAGTCTCGGCAACCGTGTAAATTATTCCACTTGTAGCATTTGAGACCATAGGTCAAATCACAAGAGACCTTTTGACCGGTTGTGTCCCAAGTTAAACCATCCACAGTTCTGCATTCAATAAACATTGGTGATTCACAGAATGAATAAACAGCTCTGAAAAAAATGTAATCAATGACACAGGTGAGATAAACTGACCTTGATGGTCCTACTAATCACCAATAAAAGCGTTTTCTTTGTCAATAGCATCCAAATTATTGAAAAAGTGACCAACAAGGAAAAATATGTAATAAATATGCACATTCTACAAATCATATGCAAGATTTAAAGTAGCTAATCTCTAACTCAATATCATCCAAAGTCTTCGACATTGAAAACACGAATTATTTGTCAATTTAAATCAACATAGATGTTGTGATCTTACCGTAAAAAGGTGGGCTTCTGACATCCAATATTTAAGACAAAATCAACATTTTACCATTGGTACACGAATCGTGTACCATAATGCGTTTCAGCGCCATTTGTAACAAGTTTAACAAGGGACTCGAAGAATGAAGCTAGACATATTCCACAAGTCATGTCAAACGGTGACCCTATAATCTTATGTTGAGAGCATGCGCAATAAACACTATCGGTGTAGACTGGAATAACCAGACGCTAGAGATTGCCATTGGATTGAGACTTTTGGCCTATTTCGCCGAACAAAACTGATTTGAAATTAGAGTAAAACGGAAATGATTGAATGTAAATCAGTTTATATACATTAATATTACATTATTATATGCGTTGCGACCCATTTGTGCTAATTTCCAGGTTCCAAATATTAGCGATTTAGCTCCTTTAAATCATTTCATATAGAAATTGACAAATTTATGGATAATTGAAATTTGGACCAATCAAAACAAGCTTGCTAATCACTTACACAAGCAGATTTTTTTGTCTATAGCAAAAAGTGACCAAAAGGAAAGACATGTTATGGATATGCATATTCTACACATCACATCCAAAATTTGAGTAATTTCATAATCAATTGAAAAAAATATGGACAACTGAAATTTGGACAAAAATGGTCTAATCACCAACAAGAACCCACATTAGGGTCTTTTGTCAATTTCACTTATCCATAATTTTGTCAATATTTTATGAAATCATTTTAATTTTGGATATGATATGTAGAATATCTATAACATATTTTTCCTTCTCAGTCACTTTTTGAAATACTTTGGATGATAATGACACCCCCCCCTTCCACTCTTCACCAAAAACCTAGTGAATGCCATTTGTAAATTGTACACCAAAATGTCAATAGAAATGAATTTAAATCCTATATGGACTAGTAATCATTGAATTCACTGTTAAATCCATGCCATTCCTTGGCATTTACGATTTTATTGAAAATTCTGAGGATCGTAAGATTCATAATCTTTCTTGCTACAAAGAGCCCAACACGTCATAATCATGAGTTGATCATATCGATTATTGCTATACTCGGTTAACGGGCTCTATAGACTATGATGTCATTTTCGTACTTGATTTCCCTAATTCATGTACGTTTACTTCCAGATAATATGGCTCTGAGGCATATTTAACAGCAACAAATTTCTTGGCATGGCCAATGAACTTATTAAATTTATATTTTACCAAAGAGTCTATTATAGTTTACCTTAATTCTGTAATAAGTTCTAAATCGCCATCTCCATCACCTGGTTTATCAATATTCATCCAACCTGTCCAATGACAGGATGGCTGTGAGATGGTGGAAGCAGTGATGGTATTGGTTGTTTTACATGGACTGTCCGTATAACATTGTACAGAGTTATTAAAACAATGGCATGTTGAACATTCCTTACTGGGGTTTGTCCAATGTTCAAATGGCTGAAAATCAAAACCATTGATAGTACTTTCAATTCATTGCAGAAAGACTTTTTTTTATATATGAGATTAATAAAAAGAAGACTAAACAAATTTTAAAGAAGCAATATGACTTAAATGGTCAGTTAGTTGGCTAAAAACTTGTGCACAAATGTTTTTGCACCAAATGTATAGGCATGTACTTTGATTTTCGATAATTAAGTGAGTCTTTAAGGTCAAGTGTTATGACGAGAGTACCAATTTTCATAATTTCAAAATATTATAACATTATATCAGATACTTTAACTGTGTTGGCCGATCTTGTATACAGATATCCAAATGTCACATATCTCAGTATTTGACACAAACAATGCACTTGGTAAATTAAAGCTAACACAGTTAATTTCATAATACCATTGTGAATACGATTGGAAATATATTTATAAACATAATGCTAAACTAACCTGAGCTAAGCTGCCATCTTGTTTAAGACATGGACACATCTCTGTTTTAACACAAGTATTTCGATCACTCAATTTATAGCCATCAGGACACGCAGGTTTGTGAACATCTGATATGTTCTTACAACCTGGGACGCAATCATTTAGATCACAGATTTTGATCGACTGTAACATATTGGTACACAGTTCTCTACATTTATAAGCACACTTTACAAAAATCTGATAAGGTGGACAAACAGCTGAAAATAAATATTTATTGTATTAGCAGAAGAATAAAGAAACGAGCCTTCACAACTTTTTTTATTCAACTATCAGGGCTCTTTTCCATGATCTGAGTTGTTCCCATGCGAAACTACAATTTCTAAAAGTACAAAAATATCATTTCATTATCTTAAAGTTGATGCCTAGAATCTCTGGCTGCCTGTTGCGGTGAATTAGGCCAATTTTATAAACATAGTAAATGAGAATTATTCCAACTGTTTAAGTGGTATATAGCCTTCTGGAATATAATTGTCTAGTAGAAATACTAATCTAACTGGCAGAAAATGGTGGTGATAGAAATTTAAATAGATTTTCGATTGGTACGGAAATATGTTTCACCCAAATTTAAGGACTGCAAAGTGGCTTGACAATTATCATTAAAATGCTCTTACGTGTTGTTGTTTGTGTTTTAGGACCTGTATCTGAATACATAAAAAAAAAAAACAAATGAAATGAAATGAAATGGGGTTTAACATCCCACTGTAAAAAAATGCTGTATGTAAATCTTTATCTAGAAATTACTTGTTTGTTGGGATATATATATATATATAATATGTAGCCTAATTAATTAATATTACACACTCAAATTTATAATAAATCAATGAAGAATTGAACTCCACCGTCCATCTCCAGCATCAACTGATTTATGCACTGAAATACAGCTACTTTGTTTTCTTGGAACTCTACCAAGGAGCGGCCATTTTATCCCACAGTTTGGGTCAGATTTTTACGAAATTTGAACTCAACCTTCATTGATGTGTAACGGTGATAAATTTAAATGTTTTTCAAAATTGAATACAAATTGTGATTTCTAGCGGGTCCACAATCAGGAGCCATAATCTGGGAAACTAAGATCCGATATGCGTGAATATCGACAGAAACCAAGATTTTTGGGTTATAAACATGTATTTCAAGTTTCATCAAAATTGGATCAAAATTGTGACCTCTAGAGGGTCCACAACCTTGATATACCATATTTTTACACTATTTGCATTTAAAGGGCGGCGGGGATCACTTGGCTAAGTGGGTAAGACGCTGGCTCGCTAGCCTGGAGGTCGGGTGTTCGATCCCTGCATTGGCCGAGAAAGTTTATCCAGATTTTCCGACGTGGTTTCCCCATGTCAGTGATGCAGGACGGAGAGCCTGACAAGGACAGCTTCTAGTCGATCGGATGGGACGAAAAACCGAGGTCCCGTGTACATATTGGCGTGCACGTAAAAGATCCCTTGGCAGTTGGAATTCGATATAAGAGTAGGCCGTAGCGCCGCTGCCCAGGCAAAATTTCCCTCATAGCACACTGTATGGCTTATGCCCGTCTTCATTAGCCCAGTATAGGAGCAGAACAGTAGGACGTTAAACCCCATTTCATTTCATTTCATTTCAAAGGGTGGCCATTTTGTCCGGCAGTTTTGGTCCGATTTTCACGAATTTGAACTCAACTGTCCTTACGGTGTAACGGTGATATATTTTTTTAAATCGGATAGTAATTGCGACCTCAAGAGACATGATTTTTCGAACAATCAGGGGCCATAATTCAGGAAGTTACGATCCACTATGCGCAAATATCAAAAGGAACCAAGATCTGTTGGTTATAAACATACATTTCAAGTTCCATCAAAATCAGATGATAATTGTCACCTCTAGAGTGTCCACAAACTAAAACCTGATTCATAATCCATGAAGTTTCAATCCGATACATGCCAATATAAACAGGAACCAAGATCTTTTGGAGATAAACCTATATTTCAAGTTTTGTCAAAATCAGATAAGACTTGTGACCTGTTAGGTGTCCACAAACAAATCAAGGACGGACAGACAGATGTCAGGAGTGGGCGTTCTGGGGCGACGACAATGTGGACATATAAAAATCTAACTGGCAGAAAATGGTGATGATAGAAATTTAAATAGATTTTCGATTGGTATGGAAATATGATTCACCAAATTTTAAGGACTGCAAAGTGGCTTGACAATTATTAAAATGCTCTTACGTGTTGTTGTTTGTACTGAAAACATAAAAAAAACAAAAAACACTTTATGTAAATATTTATCTAGAGAGTACAAATAATGTGATAATATATAAAAAGCCCCCCCATCCCCCCTGTAGATTTTAGAACATTAAATTAAAGGTAACTCATTATTTTTATTCATACCCCCCCGATGTATGAAATAGGATATTCTTTATGCTGAAAGTGCAGCTATTCGTGTATCTATACTTTCTACTTGGTAATTATGTTTGTTTAGATATATATACTCAGCCAAATTAAAAACTTGACACTCGGGATTTTTGGGACTAGATTTTTAATATTTGGTTTAAGGCAACTATTTTAGTGTTATGTTGTGCACAGACGACCTTGACATCAACAGACATTGATAACGTTCGTGATGTCACAGTACCCCCCAAAATGAAATTCACAGACTTGGAGAACAATCGGAATAAAGTGTTTAGTAACGGTTGTGGCCTCCTCTAGCGTCTCGTACTGCCACATAACGTCTTCTCATGGATCTCAGAACATTAGTAAACACTACCCGAGGAAGACGTCGCCAATGCTCAGCAAGAGCATGTTGAAGGTCGTGCAACGTCAGTGGTGGATTCACTTGCTAACGAACACGTCGACCCAGTTCGTCCCAGATGTGTTCAATAGGATTAAGGTCGGGGCTAAGCGACGGCCAATCCAGGACTTGGACACCGACATTTCTTTAAAAATTCTGGGTAGCAATTGCTGTATGGGGTCTTGTTGAAACGTTAGTCCAGGCCCATGTCTCTGCATAAACGGAAGAAGAACAGGTTGCAAAATCTGATCCCTGTACTGGACAGCATTTAAGTTCCCTTGGACAACAACAAGAGGAGAACGTCCATGTGCACAAAAAGAACCCCAAACCATGACGCTGTCGCCACCAAATCGGTCAACTTCTCTGACACATACTTGAGCGCAACGTTCACCTCGTCTGCGGTACACTCGGACCCCGCCATTGGCAAATCTCAAAGTGAATCGAGATTCGTCACTAAAGACAACCGAATTCCACTGTCTTTGAGTAAATCTTATGTGTCTTGTGGCCCACACAAGTCGGTTACGGCGATGAAGAGGTGTCAATATTGGTCCATTATAGGGCCTCCGAGCTCGAAGACCAGCAGCCTGCAAGCGATTTTGAACAGTTTGTGCAGTTACCCTTCTACCAAACATCTCTCTACTTGTGGAGGTTGCAGTGACAAATCTGTTTCTAAGATGACGTAATCGTATAGCTTGATCTTCCTGGAATGACGTCACACGTGGCGCTTCCGCCCTTGGGCGGTCGGCAATAATTCCAGTTTGAAGCACTCTCATTCTAAGATTAATTATTGGCTGGCGTGAACAATTAAAGGCTCTTGCAACAGTGACCAAAGACTGACCAGCATAGAGCCTACCTACAGCACGTAGACATTCTACATTTGAAAGGTGCGGCATTTTCTAACAAAGATGAAAATAACAATTTTAATATGTTTTTCCAGTTCAAGTTACGTGTGCGTGTTCAGTTTAAGCAAACTTGCATCGATTGACCTCACGAGTTTGTGTTTGCACGTGTTTTTCAGGTTTTTCATCTTTATATGCTCAAAAGTCACATGAAATTAAAGGCTTCTTACTACTTACTATCGTTAGAAACACTTTAAAATTTATTTGACTTACCAGAAAAAAAAATTTGTTGAAATTCATCAGTGTCAAGTTTTTAATTTGGCTGAGTATATATATGTAGCCTAATTAATGTAATTATGCGTGTTATACAACACTGATTTTAGGCAATCAACAAAATGCATTAATACATCTCGTAATATTAAACACTCAAATTTATAATAAATTCTGGGGCAGAAAAATCAATGAAGAATTGAACACTGTAGACTTATGAGTATGGTAATGTATGTTATCACAAGTTAGGGCCAATATCTTTAAATATTTTTATGACAATGCTCAGAATGATGATCATTTTTCTTTACCCCAATAATAAATATTCCAGAACATTTGATGAAAATCAGTTAAGTTGTAGACAGGCCAACTAAAAAAGGTGACAACAAAATAACATATATTATTATATGGCCGTATAAAATATCTGTATGAAATATGTACACTAGAACATTTGTAAGTCAGTTATTTTCTAGATGTTGACAGTTGATAATCAAAATTTGAGTAAAATGGCTAGACTTTAGAAGTCGTCCACTTCTAACATCAACTGTTTTATGCACCACTACTTTGTATTCTTGGAACTCTACCTAATTTTGATTTAACATTGAACATAGGCTGCTCAGTGTGTCCCTTAAATATTACATCCATTTATATTTTAGAAGCGGTATATACTATATCCAAAACAGTCCAAAACAGAAGCCACCATTTTACAGACAGGGAACTTAATGTGCATAAAGAACGGGCCAGATTCTAATATCCCTCCAAGAGTTGCAACGGTCCAAATAATCTTAGTGGTATAACCTTCTGGAATATAATTGTCTAGTATAAATACTAATCTAACTGGTAGAAACTCGTAATGATAGAAATTTAAATAGATTTTCGATTAAAATGCACTTACCTGTTGTGTGTGTTCCAGGGCCTGTACGAGAAAAAAATGGTTTTTTTTCAAGATACATTATGGGAGATTAGATAAAGAGCTGGCAGTGCTCACTATAATAGTTAAAAACTAGATAATGTAAAGTCAATTTGCTGAAAATTTCATTCAAATTGATCCACTATGAACCGAGAATTAAGCGATTGAAATTTCCGCCTAGCCTCGATCATCATTACTAAAGTCAGTACGATAAACAGCATAGTCTCGATTACCCATTTAATCATTAAATCGTGAAGGAAAGTTATGCAGTAAATCGGCTCATAATCCACTAAAGATCGCAGGCTAGCGATGTTTAATGTTTTATGTAAATAATTATCTAGAGAGTACAAGTAAAGTAAGCTAATTAATAATATATAAAATATCATTAAAATACACTTACTTGTTGTCTGTGTTCCAGGAGTTGTAGTAACTGAAAACATAAGAAAAAAAACAACAAAATGATTTATGTAAATAATTATCTATAGTGTACAAGTAATGTACCGCTAAGCTTATAATATATAAAAAACCTAACCCCTCTGTAGATATTAGGAACATTAAATTATAGGCAACTCAATATTTTTATGCATATTCCCATGTATGAAATAGCATGTTGCATTATGCTGGAAGCACAGCAGTTAAGAATTTATTCATGTATCTACTTTCTTCTTGGTAATTATTGGTAACTCATTTTTTTTATTCATACCCCCCCATGTATGAAATAGGATATTTATTATACAGGCAGTGCAGCTATTTATGTATCTATACTTTCTACTTGGTAATTATGTTTGTATGGGTATATGTAACAGTACTGGCTCTTGCGGACACGACTAATTTAACTTCATTATACATTTATTCTGCCAAACATTTAATATACATGTGTACTCCTTAATTAACTTGTGTTGTCGACCCTGGTCCTAACTGCCCACTACCGCTCAGGTAACAGCTTTTAACCCCTTGGACACTGGTCAGTTGTCCAACCCCAAAAGTCAGCACCCCCCACGCCAACACACTGTGGCCTAATTGGATAGTCTTCAGTCACTATATAACATTCACTGTAAACGAGAGAGAGAGAGAGAGAGAGAGAGAGAGAGAGACAAACATATAGTTTAATCTTATTTCATTAAGTCACTTGCATGTAGGGGTATTTATATAGCAGTGGGAGGAAACCGGAGGACCCAGAGAAAACCAGAAAACCCACAAGGTTTGACAGGCGACACTACACCTTGTCACAACGTACAACTGTGGAATCAAAATCACGCTGGTTGACTCAATGACAAAACTTATGATACAGCATTCGACCATCCCCCCCCCTCCACCGCATTGTAATCGAAGTAAGTACAACATAGACTGGGATTATCAAGACTAGTTGTACACACATAACCATACAATAATACTGAAATGGTCAAAGTAATGTGGTAACCAGAGAAAAAGTTATTCGTACTCCAAAATTAGTACTAAAAGGTAATTGTGATTGAGCTTTAGTATACCAAATTTTGAAATGAGGAATAAGAGAGAAGCAAATTACCTCCACAATATTCATTCCAACAAAGAACACGAACTTCATAATCGTAACATTTTTTCTGCTTCTGCTCACTGTTGTAACAACTGAGACCATTGTGCATATCACATTTAACATTAGTTTGAGTAATAGCTGATGATGGTGTATTAGAATCTGCTACTCTACATTCAATATCTATCATATTCTTACACACACCATAAACATTCTACAAAATATTCAAAATCTGATTAACAGCTTGTGTGTACAATAAAACAAGACATAAACAAGGGTTCGATCAGGCACACCAGAGGCATCAACCCTGATTATTGAGCAAGTTTTAAAATGTTCAGTGCAGAAGCCTGGCCTACATTGCATTCACAAGCTTGAAAAGCTCCAAATTTGAACATAATTAAGGTATCACTTCAAACATTACAGGGCTATAATTCTATTATTTATATTATCAAAATATTTTTAATTTTAATATGACCCAATGCGAAATTCCACCAAGTTTTAAGAAAATCTACCAAGAACTTTGTCCTGGCTGTACCTTATTCATAAGCTTTTATATCAAAATATGGAACCGGTTCTTTTTTATAGACTGTTGGCAATTCCACCTAGTTTCAAACTTTTGAAAAGGAATCTTACTAATAGACCCCGATGAACAATCCTGCAAATATGACATAAATGTCCCTTTAGCATGCTCACATGAAATAAGTAATGTCATCAAATGTATGTGGGTATACCAAATAGCACTAATACAAACATGTCTTGAAAACGTTTTACTTGGTATATTTTTCCATTGTGATATGTAATGGGTGTCTTATTTGTAGGATTGAGTATGAAGGATATCAATTACTGTTTTATATACGAGTTTAATTCAGTCCATAAAAAAAATCATTACAATTCATTAGAGTTAGAGTCATATACATAGCCTATGTTTGTTTTCAAGTAGTTCAACAAATGCTCATGAAAATGCTTTGCTCTATATAGGTGAGTGTTGGTTTATTTTGAATATATCAGGCCTATATCAAATTAATTACATTTAATATCATTGTGAAAATGATAACATTACTTTATGGCTTACTAGTGCCAACTTTTTAACTACCGGTAGCTATGTTATTCTATTACCAATTAATTACAATAATTACATTTTAATATTAATAGTTAGAGGAGAAGTTTAACAAACCTTTAATCTTGCAATAGTTTCAAAGTCTCCAGTACCAATGTTTGGTGTGTCAGTGTTATACCAGCGGGACCAGCCACATGGTTGGGGTGTTGTGTAACTGCTTGTGGTGATCGGTGTGGTTGAAGTGAGCGGACAATTACAGTAGTATCTTATTTTATAATCATGACAAAGAATGGGTGGAATAACTTCGTTAATACAATTTGAACCAGTTTTGACAGTACAAGTGTTGCCTTCTCCAGTACTTTCAGCGGGAATATTCTCCACTGTCAAACACTCAACTTCAGTAATATCACCACCTACACAGAACTTCTTCAATTCTTCTGTTGTCATAATTTCATGGTCTCCATCTCCTGTCTTTGGCGTGTCCTTGTTAATCCATTCTGACCAATGACTTGTGAAACAGTTGCCTGAGCTTTCTGTACTGGATCCTGTGTAGGGTGTGGTAGAACTAGCATATGCTGAAGTAGTGTCATCTGTAAAAGATAGATGTATGTACCAAATAGTTAAACTACATAACAAAAATATTTGAAAGCCTCTTTTAACATAAACTGGGTTAACAGAAACCGGTTTTAGAAAATTCAACTAAGAACATTATTCTGTATTGCGATTTTTTCCATAAGATTTAATTTAAACGTCAAAATGTGACCAGTAATATAACCTAGCCATGCAATTCCGTAATTACAGATTCATCCTTTTTAATTTCAAGACAGCATGTCAACATCCTTATGTGAACAAGCTCAAAAAGCTCAAAATATCCCACACTCTTAGATAAATATTGTACAACACACAAATAATTTAATCAGAGAAATTATTCAACAAATAATAGGCTAATGTGTCCACTATATTCCATGAAGATATTTGAGAAATTTCTAATTAGCAAAAGGTACAACTACTATAAGTTGATGTACCTATTGCTAATTAGAAATTTCTCAAATATCTTCATGGAATATAGTGGACACATAAGCCTATTATTTGTTGAATAGGTGACAGATATTGGAATACAATTTTTGTATATTACTGAATAACATTTCGACTATACTTGTCTAGTCTTTATCAAGCTTGATGACCACTAGAGAAGCCAAGTTGAAATTTTACTCACTTGATAAAGAACAGATACTGCCTACAGTTGTTATTTGGACCTAGCTATGAATCATGATACTAATCGTAGCAGAGCATCTAAATTACAATATGTATCATAGCATGACCGCCGATGCAAAACCCAGAGAAATAAGGAATGTAGAACAGGAAAAAGCTAGAGCAAGCACATATCTGGGTAAATCAAAATGAACATTTAACTCACTTGCGCATACACATTTATATCTTATCTGGAAATCATCACAAGGCATTGGGTTATCATCATTGTTGCAAGTGAAACCATCTGCTACCGTACAGGTGGCTATTATGGGTAAACTACTATAAGGGGTATTATCATGAGCTGTAGCACATTCAATTTCGGTTATGGTACCACCTAAACAGAACCTCTTCAATTCATCTGTTGTCATAGCTTCATGATCTCCAGGACCATGAGTTGGTTTGTCTTTGTTGATCCACTCAGTATATTTTGTAACCCCCTGCGCACAGAGTGCTGTTGGAGATGTGCTGGGTCCAGTGTAAGGTGTTGTTGGAGATGTGCTGGGTCCTGTGTAAGGTGTTGTTGGAGAAGTGCTGGGTCCTGTATACGGTGTTGTTGGAGATGTGCTGGGTCCTGTGTAAGGTGTTGTTGGAGATGGAGAAGTGCTGGGTCCTGTGTAAGGTGTTGTTGGAGATGGAGAAGTGCTGGGCCCTGTGTAAGGTGTTGTTGGAGATGTGCTGGATCCTTTGTAAGGTGGTGTTGGAGATGGAGAAGTGCTGGGTCCTGTGTAAGGTGTTGTTGGAGATGGAGAAGTGCTGGGTCCTGTGTAAGTAGATGAAGATGTGCTGGGTCCATTGTAAGGTGTTGTTGATGAAATGCTGGGTCCACCACATTCATTGCAGAAAAACCTAATCTCATAATTTAAACATTTCTGTTCATGTTGATCCGAGTTTAGACAAATAAGTGATTTGCTCTGTAGGTCACATTTTACATTGATTTGTCCAGCTTCAATTAAGGTCATTTTTTTATCTACTGTTCTGCATTCTATCTTTTCTACATACTCTGCATCACAAACATGAACAAATTTTGACATTTTGTTCAATGATTCAAAGTCACCTGATTGAAAAAAAAATCATTATAATCTAGATAATTTTGTTTCAAATAATGTGTTGTCAGGCAGCTCAGCAAACGGTTTAAACATGAGAAACAGAATGACAATATGAATTTACATGGAGAGCTTTGTCTTGTATCTTGTGCACAAGTCTTAAAGACAAACTAAATCAAATCACAAAACATAAATTTATTAACAAGAGTTCCCAAAGTCTTAATGACCTGTCAGTTACAATAATATCTTAAAGCACCCATTACTAAGAATATTCAAATTGTAAAATCTGCATTCCATGTGATCACTACTCATGATAATAATGATCTAATATAAAAATAATTCTCTGCTATTCTCGATAACTAATCGACTCTGAATATCAACAGCTCTGTGAAATCAAAACAGAATCAAAAGTCTCATTAAGGTATATAACGTTTCTACCTCTGTTAACATATAATCTATTTTAAGTTATATGGCACATCTGAAGTTATACAAATATAATTTGACACATGGAACCTAAAAAGTTAGTCACCCTTGCTGTACAGTATAGTTCATGAAAGAAATATATACAATTAATATACCTTTTGAATCTGGCTTACTAAGACTGACCCACTGTGTGTAGTACGTACTACATGGTTTATTGGTAGTCGTGGTACTACTACTAGTAGGTGGAGGTGTTGTAGGTGGAGGTGACAGTGTTGAATGTGGTGTTGACGTCATGGTTGAAATACCTGGCGGTTGTGTTGGTGGTATCTGACAACCATAGACATTGAAACGCATACCAATACGATTATGCCATTCTAAAGGAACAATTCTGATAATCTGTGCCAACACTGTGTTAAAAGTGTTCATTTTAGGAGTTGTTTGATCAGAATTACCAATAAATATTTTTGGTTTTCCTTGGGATTGTATGGTATGAAATTGTGTCCCGTTACTGTACAAGACTTTATATTTAGTCACCCAACTAGCCAGTGTACCTAAATTGCCTTGTGTTTTGATTCCTGCTACCTCGAAGGGCCCAGACATGAAGTCAACTTGTATCCATTGGTTACCATTAGAAACTCTAAAAATAGAAGATCAATCATAAATCTGGCAACAGAGAGAGAGAGAGAGAGAGAGAGAGAGAGAGAGAGAGAGAGATTTTGGGACTAACATATGGTTCAGTTTTATTTCAATAATTCATAGGCAACCCTATTCCTTGTTATGTACAAGCTGGGATTTGAAACAACGCCAACTGAGTCAATGAGATGATCTAAAGCGCGTGCTAGACCATTCAGACCCCCCCCCCCCCCACCAGTAGAAATGTATGTTAGCCCAATGACAAAATTAATCTATTGTGAGCCTAAAATGAAAAATATAAGGCAAGCTAATAGTAATCAATAACCATACCCATTTCTTGGAATGGTTATTAGAACAGAACTAAAGAGATAGCTAATCTCAGTGTGTGAAATAGATTTATTTTATGTCCCACTAGGGTGATATCTTAGACAAAAGCAAATTAGTAAATCCTTTTTAAAGCTAGCCTTCAGAGTAAAAGAACTAAACAAAACAAAACCACAACAAAAGATATTGCAAGATTACTTTCTAGAGAACAAATTAACACATTCTTCCAAGTCAAGTTAACAAATGAGTTTTTCTGATGAAAAATAATCTAAAAAAAATAGAGGTTATCATCAGATTCATGTTGCAGTTTTGAATGTACAAATCTACTTACAAAGGTTGCCACCCTCCAGAGAAGTGTCCATCAATTTGTGTAAACAGCCTTCCCCTCTCAGGTCGGTGAAATCGGTCTTTACTTGTGGAGGCTGTTAATTGGTAATTTCTGATTAAACCTGGGTTTTCAATACCCATCGGAAGATCACAAACTTTGAAACAAAACAAAATTGATTAATTAAACATAGATGGGTTGGTGGCATAACTTTTCATGTTTTACACCAACTAGTACACACAACCAGAATAAGAAACGTTCATTCAAGCTCTATATCAACGTCAACTGTGTAAGATAACCATTCTAATGAATAGTTCTAGTGAACAACTGCGGAAGTTTCACCAAAACAGCAGCGTATCCACCTACAACTAACAAGGGTTCTTTTACATGCATGCCAATGTGTATACAAGACCTTATTTTTTGTCCCATCCAAAAAACTAGCTGATGTTCCTTGCCGGGCCCTGTGTCCTTCACCACTGACATGGAGAAACCAGGCTTGGAAATCCTGGTGAACTATCCCGATGTCCAAAAAGAGCTATACAGACACCTGAATATTATATGGATAATTGAACTGAAACAGTTATATTACAACCAATTTATCCTATGACTAAAAGACAGTTAGTATTTTCCATATTTAGATTTTCAACATACAACATGTTTCGTCATTCATTCATTAGTGTCAATATATATAGGTGTAAGTGGCCAAAGAGTTCTTGATTACATAATATATACCTTTAGTTGTTGTTGTTTCTTCTGTAGTTGATCCTGTGACTGTTGGTGTAACTGGAGAATAATGAAAAGATTATTCAATGAAAGAGTTTCACAAAGACTTGGAAAAATATTAAATCTTTAAATTGTTGTGTTTAACAATGCTCCCAAAAGGAACAAGAACCTTTGATCACCCATCGATTAAGAGAACCTGTACCTTGAATGAGTATAAGGCTACGAATGTCTACAATATCAAAATCTTTAAATCATGACATCCCTAACTTTCTGGTTAGTAAGCCAGCACCTTCCTCAATGATCCAATCTCAAAAGAACATGATCCAATTCCAAAAGAACAACAAGTGTATTTAACAATTCATTTAGAATTTCCATTGAGAACTTTGTCCATTGTTCGTAAGCTTCAAAAGTCAAAATTTAATTGAAAAGAGAACTCTGCCAAACTCATTCAATAATTTGTAATTCAAAAATTCTGACAGAATTCTTCCTTATATCCCAATGAACAATTCTATTAAGAATTCTTACCTGTATTCAGTTCACAATATTTCATAAATATAAATGCAAACAGATTCCCTAGCATGCTTACTTATGACTTGCAATTATTGAATTACTTTTTTATTTCAAAGATTAGGGATTGAAACAACAGAGAAATTTCACACTTAAACATGTCATTTTTGGATTAATTTTCCACAAGGCACTTCACAAGGAACCCTGAGAAAATCCATGATGAAAAGCGGGCGACCATATAACTTGTCGCATTTACACACTAATGCGACTGCACAAACACCCCAAATATTCCGTTCAAAAGTATATCATGTACATTAATTAGCAAATCATATGAAGTAGAAAACAAATTGATACAATACCACTATATACTGGAATACTCTGACCACCAATTGTTGGTGTGATGATGGGTACACTGATATCCACCCAAGTAGGTGGACGGGTACAACCCAGAACATTGAATCGTAAAGAAGCACCAGACTTGGTCCAATCTAAAGGAACAATGCGGATATATCTTGTCAACCAATTTCTGTTAAATAAGTTTCGTACTGGGGTTGTGCCATCTGTATTTCCATTGAATATTTTAGCTACAACATTTCCAGGAGTATTGGAGTACGGAAAAAATTCTTTATTGTCAAAGCTTCCAAGAACCTTGTAGGTTTTGATCCACATTGGTTTATCTTGGTTGCCTTGAGTTATGATACCAGATACTAATGTTGGATTCCCAAAGTCAACTTGAATGTAAGGTGTTTTATCACTTGGTCTGAAAGAACAGTAAACATATGGCTTACAGCAAAGTTGATAGTATTATTCATTTTGCCATAATTTTCAAGCCCACTAAATATTAAATAATTCACAAGATTTATGTACAATTGGGAATTCTGCAATCACTTCAAAACATTATGATCTGAAAATTCCATATTTTACATAATTCTATCAAGAACATTGCAAGTTTTCATGATTTGACCATAACATTTGAATTCAAGGGTGCACTATGCCTTGCTAAACATTGCCACCATATTTTTCAAAATTTCATTGAGATATTATTCCTTTTACTCTGCAGAACACATTGAAATACAAATCCATAAATTAGTGAGGATTGTTTCCAAAATAATGTGTAAATGTTAATGTTTTGTTTAGAATTAGCTGGTATTCACGTACAGAATGACGCAAAGTTTACACTAAATGTATATATATAATTTACTAATTTTCATTATTCTTATTAGCTGTGTTATGTATATCATATTCCTGAAGCAATAGTTACAAGCTTACGAACTATTACCAAACTTACTGGTATATATGATACACTCCTAAGTTATTTTTGTCGAGAGAGAGATGTGGTTTAACGTTCACACTAGGTCATTTTGGGACGAACATGTGGTTCAATTTTATTTCCACAATTCACTTGTGCATGGGGGTCTTTAGCAGTGTGAGGAATTCGGAGGACCTGAGGACCTGGAGAAAACCCACAAGGTTAGACAGGCGACCCTACTCTTTGCCACGTACAATCGGGGAATCGAAACTATGCTAGTTGACTCAATGATAGACCTTTTGATACAGCGTGCACATGCTAACCATTCAGTCATCCACCCCCCCTATTTTTGTCTAGGTACAGGTAATACATATGACTGTAGATGAACACAAAAATAATCGACCATCCAGTCCAGACCCATGTATCCTGCACATGTGACTTGACTCAATATTTAACTCAATATTTCTCTGCTAATTTGGTTTAAATAAAATATACATTTGCTAAAGGCTTAATCGACTGAGTAATATATAACAGTTATAGGGTTTAGTATTGCACTAAATGTGATCATAATCCATTGAAAATGAAAATATCCCTTTTCTTACATATTGTGTAAGAGTACTATTCCGAAAAAGCTACTTACAATGGCATCCAGGCACTACCATGTCCATTAACAGCTGTGTTGTAGATTCGTCCCTGGTCAGCTCCATGTGATATATCAATCTGGGATGAAGCTGTTAACTGGTTAAGATTGATCACATATCTACTCTCTACTCCCATTGGAATCATACATACTGTAACACAACCGTACAAACAACATAAATTCTATTAAAACATAGACACCGATTACAGCTATATATATTTGCTCAACTTTCAGAAAAATTCTAGGTGACCTGTTAAGTGCAACCCTTAATTAAAAAACGTGTTAGTGACATCATCTAAAGTACCAGACTCCAAGTTCACAAAGCATTCTCAGACTTTACTCAAATGTGTTTGCCGTATTTTAATTAAAATATAGCACTGTATAAAACTTTAGTTGTGTTAATGTATCAAATACATCAGGAACTATATGCAAAGCTTTGTGTTTCTGGATTAAAGATATTTCTCATAACATTGATTGAAAGTTGAGTAAATTCTTAACTTAAATCTGAGAAGGCTTTGGGAACTCGGGGTCTGATCTTATATAGCATTTCTGTAAGCAGTAAAATTTGCATATTCTATGTGTCAAAATTGCATATAGTCCTGTTTTTACCTTTTCCAACTGATAATTACTATCTGGTTATGCCATAAAAACAATCTTTAATACTATGTGGCATTGGAACAGAGGCTCCAAGAAAGTTTCTAGAAGTAGCCATTTATATATTATTCATTTTATGTCAAATTATGGAAGTAAGTGAATCATCTGCTTTAAAGGAGGCAAGTCTCTAACTCAATATCATTCACAATCCACATTGCAAACACGACTTGTTGGTCAATTTAAATCAACATTAAAGTTGTTATCATCTTACTATGAAACAATGGGCTTCTGATATCCAAGACGAAATAAAAATTTAAAAATTGGCACACAAATCGCATGCCAGAATGCTTCCGGTTCATAGACTGGAATAACCAGACACCAAAGACTGCCATTCAATTTGGACTCTTCGTGCATTTCGACAAACATAACTGATTAGAAATTACAGTAAAATCAGAAACAACTGAATGTAAATCAGTTTATATACATTCATATTACATTATTATATGCATTGCGATCCATTTGTTTCCATTTCTTGGGGCCAAAGAATAGAGATTTAGCTCCTTTAAATATAAAGAAATTCAAGACGCCTGTGTCAAATACCTCAGCAGAGGAAATTGAAGAAATGAATGAGTAGAATCATCAAACCTTTATTTCCACTTTAAAATTTTTGGCAATTGCTATCTTGAAAAATGGCTGTTTATAATTTGGATAATTGAACTGAAACAGTTATATTACAACCAATTTATCCTATGACTAAAAGCCAGTATGTATTTTCCATATTTAGATTTTCAATATACAACATGTTTCGTCATTCATTCACCAGTGTCAATAACATTGACTCAATATATAGGTGTAAGTGGCCAAAGAGTCCTTGATTATATAATATATACCTTTAGTTGTTGTTCCTTCTGTAGTTGATCCTGTGACTGTTGGTGTAACTGGAGAATAATGAAAAGATTATTCAATGAAAGAGTTTCACAAAGACTTGGAAAAATATTAAATCTTTAAATTCTGTATATTTATAAATCATTGTTGTGTTTAACAGTGAACGATTATAAGGACATGAATATTAAAATCGTTTAATCCTTCCTATACAATGATAATTGATTCACAAAGTCTACATTATTTAGGTACAATTTCTAAGAATTTGTTTGTTTAGAAAAAATGTGATTAACTGGGTGATCATTCAACATAAAATGGGAGTGAATTGACATGGGGCTACATACACAGTCAATGTATAATTTGATTGTATCCCCTTAGTATGTTGAGCCCCTAATCTGTGTAGTTTCCTAGTTTTCTTCTGCTGATGATTAACTTCAAGAGCATGGGTTCAGTCCCACTGAATGTTATGGTTTTTGTTGTTGCTGATGTGTTCTGCAGAGTTATCATATATACAAAGGTCTATATAATGATGTATTAAAATATTTCATCACATAAAATCCCTCCAAGTAATCACATGTTCAAAAGTGCCAAAAATGACAATATATCGAAAAAAATATACTTTGATAACTCAATAAAATTTATATAATACGAAATAATATGTCTACATGGAAATGTGGGTGTATAAAAATGAAATATTACCTATTGGTGCAGTGGTTGTTGGACCCATGTAAGGAGTTGAGGATCCTGTGTATGGAGTGGGTGTAACTTCTGGAGTAATTAGGGGTGCAGTGGTTGGTGGACCTGTGTAAGGAGTTGAAGATCCTGTGTATCGGGTGGGTGTAACTTCTGGAGTAATTAGGGGTGCAGTGGTTGGTGGACCTTTGTAAGAAGTTGATGATCCTGTGTATGGAGTGGTTGTAATATTATTTTCTATAGATGGGTTACATCCAATAACATTGAATTTCAAACCTCCGGCATTATGAACCGATTTGGGAAAGAGCTTCACATATCTTGCAAAGATATCTCTATTAAACAGATTTTTAACAGATTTACTGCCATCCTGATTGCCATTAAAAATCTTTGGTGTTGTTTCTAATGGACTTTCCGTATAGGGGGTGAAATTGATTCCGTCATTGCTATAATAAACTACGTATTTAGAAACCCATCCATATTCTGATCCTCCTTGAACTACGGTTCCTGTTATTGACTTCCTTTCTAAAAAGTCGACTTGGATCCAACGGTTAGTATCAGTAGATCTGAAATATGAAAGTGGTCATCAACACTGTAAAAAAAACCTTATGCCTCAAAAATGTATAATAAAATTAAAGATACATTATGGGAGATTTGATAATGAGTTGGCAGTTCTCACAATAATAGTTAAAAACTAAATAATGTAAAGGCAATTTGCTGAAAAATTCATTCAAATTGATCCACTATGAACCGAGAACTAAGCAATTGAAATTTCTGCCTGGCCTCGATCATTATTACTAAAGTCCGTACGACAAACAGCATAGTCTCAATTATCCATTTAATCGTTAAATCGTGAAGGAAAGTTATGCAGTAAATCAGCTCATAATCCAATAAAGGTTGCAGGCTAGTGATGCCATCTAGAGTTGATTATGGTCTGGATAGGTTAATTAATGTCTAATTAATAATTTAGATAACATTTCAGGCCTAAATAAAGACCTGCAATAGACAGATTTAGCTCTTGCATAATGTATGTTTAATGTTATCCTCCATATCCAACTTTCTTTAACATGATCACTGATTCTTTAATATGACAACATTATCAGGCTGATAATTACACCATTACTGCACAAGTCGAGCCACTGTGACTCAATATGTAATTAAGTTAATGCTTCTCACTAACCAGGAGGGCCTAGCTACAATCCCTAGTGTTGGCCTTAATGTTCATTTTGATTTTGCATTTCAGTTTCCCCTGTCAGCAGCGCCAAATGGAGGGTCTGGGAAAGAACAATGTCTAGATGTCCAAATGCGAAAAAAGACCCAATGTCTTGTGTGCTACATGTTGTTGTGCACTGAAAATAAGTCTTGACAATAGGAATATGGTGAAGAGTACAGGCAGAAACATCACTGTCCTGATAAAATATTCTTCATAGCACAGTTGGTTGGAGCAGAAATGTTACAGGTTTAGTTTTATTTCATTACTGTAATAGATCAAGTACATCGACCAAATAATATGCAGTGACTTATGAGGTTTAATCAGAACCATCCAACAAACCTTTAACCTCATAACTTTTAGCAGACAACTACTTAAATATTGTGTTTTTCAAAACTTTTTAGTGACGCAAAGAACTTTTATCCAAACATATACGCAAATGAAGGAAATTCTCATGAGGGAAATATTCTGTTGCCATGATACATCCTTTAATGTGAAGTGCCTACTTCTAAGCACCAACTTTACAGCTGATCTGAGTGATTAAATGTAAAAATGTTTGTGAGCTTGAACTTCACTTCTGTCCTGTAACCAGAATATATGTATTTCTGGTAAAATCCCCAGTCCATCTGCAGATGTATGTCTTAGTTATTTACTTTGTTCGATCATTGAATATGAAACATACTTACTTTGGTACCCAAGAAACATTGCTTTGGTCAACTACAGTAAGTCGTCCACTGGTTGGCCCATGATCTTTATCAATTTGTGATGAAGCAGTCAATTGACTGTCAGTGACAATACGATAATTCTCCAAACCCATCTTGATTTGACAAACTACAGGATAAAAAGAGAAATAATAAGAATCATGTAATTATAAATGCAAGATTTGTGCTCATAGTTGATAATTAATTTGATTTGTAATAAAAATTTGCTGTGTACAAAAAGATAACGCATCATATTTTAACTCATTTTTTCTTTTAAAGAATATACTATGTTTTGAGATTAGGATCCAGTATTGTAAACAATGTTTCCATTAAAAGTCAGGGGTAATAACTTGTTATTTTTATACTAACTATTCCTGATAATTTGATAAAAATTGGTGAAGAAGCTAACTCTAAGAGAAGACAAGGAAATGTGGACAGACAATCGAATGATGTCTTTCTACCCCCTTATCCACAATACAGTTCCTTTAATATTAAGTGCAGGAGAACCACACTACACATAACAACCAACTAGAAACATACAAGACATCCCACAGGCAAGACAGTCATATCACACACACAAAATATTGTAAATATATAAATAATAATCAGAGCTAGCAAATCAAGTGCAAGGATCTGGTAAAGTAATATTCATGAACATGGGTATATTTATACGAAATGCCTTACCTGGAATTGGAATAAGTGTTGGTGGAGTTGTAGGAATATGAGTTTCCGTGACTGGTTTAAAACAACCAATAATATTAAATCTTAAACCAATGCCATAAGGTGACCACTCGGATGGAACAATCCTCACATACCGAGCATTTAAACTGTCCTTAAATACATTCTTTACAACAGACCTCTGATCTGAGTTGCCAGTGAACATTCTGGTTCTGCCATTTTCTTTATAACGCAGAAAATGGATGCCATCCACACTGGTTTCAACAAAGAATTTGGTCACCCATTTTTTATTCAATCCACTACCCTGGGTCACAACACCAGAAACAAAAGAAGGGTGCAAAAAGTCTACTTGTATCCATTCATATCCATAATTAGTTCTAAAAAAATAATTTAAAAAAAAAAATTCAAACATTAACAAAGGCTTGTAAGGCCCTCTAATGTGTCCATCACTAACAAAGATGTCTATGCTAGTTCTAAAATCAGTCAACAAATTTTGCAGAAATTAAAAATTCATTGTTAATTGCGGATGGACAACAGATAGACGAAGCTGACAACAATATATGCCCAATAACATTTATCTAACAGCAGAACAGTAATGCCAAATATGTTATTAAGTCTACAGGATTAACATGTACAGGGGCACTTTACAAAGTGACAATGTAATTATAAAGAAACAACAAGATTATGGACATGTTAACAGTTGTATACAGTCAGTTAAAAGCCTGATTAAATAAATGTGTTTTAAGCTGTTTTTAAAAAGAATATAGAGATGTACAACATCTTAAACTAAATGGTAGATTATTCGATAAAACATGTGCTTGATAACTAAAAGAGCATTGACCATATCAGACTAGTTAAACAGTTTTGGGATTTAAGTGTAGTTTATCTGATGTACGTATGTTCGACCAGGTGAATAAAGTTCTAAATTATTTCAACATTTAAAAGTAAGTAATAAAATCTTAAAATCAATGCGATAGTTAATAGGTAACCAGTGTAAATTATATAAAACAGAACTGAGAGAGGGAGAGAAATGGGGTTTAACGTCCACTCGACACAAACTAGGTCATTTCGGGACTAACATGTGGTTTAATTTTATTTACATAATTCGCTTGCGTGTAGGGGTCTTTAGCAGTGGGAGGAAACCGGAGGACCCGGAGAAAACCCACGAGGTTGGACAGGCGACCCTACTCCTTGTCACGTACAACCGGGGATACGAAACCACGCCAGTCGACTCAATGACAGACTTTATGATACAGTGCGCGCACGCTAACCATTCAGCCATCCAACCCCCCGAACTGAGAGGTAAACAGGAGCTAAACTATTTAAACATTTAAAAGTAAGTAATAAAATTTTAAAATCAATGCAATATTTAACAGGTAGTCAGTGTAAATAATATAAAACAGGAATTATGTGGTCGCATTTCTTAGTTAAAATAACAAGTCTAGCTGCAATATTCTGTACTTTTTGTAAATTATCTATAAGCTTTAAAGGTAAACCAACTAAAAGTGAATTAAAGTTATCTAATCGAGAAGTGACCAGAGAATTAACAAGTGACTTAGTGGCCTCTACAGTTACAAATTTACATGTTTTACCTACATTTCTGATATTAAAATAGCACAATTTACAAATATTATTTACTTGAGCTCCCATAAGCATAAATGTTTGACGGTGAAAGGTGCCTCCCTAGTCAAATCTATCAAAATATTTTCTCTTGCGTGACATTATACATACACTTACCGTGGTTCCCAACCTCCATATGGATTAAAGAGTCTGCCATTTGTAGCGTACGAAGCACCATGATAACTTGAAGCTGATAACTGATAATCTTTAATTTGTACTTTATTGTCAACACCCATTGGATATACACAATCTTTTAATCAAAAATATAAAACGAAAGCATATCACTACTTGTGCCATAATTTATTCATACTGAATATGAATTACACTGAATTAGTAATTAGAATCCAGAAAAGAAGGGAAAAAAAGAGTTATATTTCAATAATTGGCTTGAACACACAAGATTAGGCAGATAACCTGCTCCTTGTAACATATATATAATCAGGGGATAGAACTTTGACCAATGACAGACCTTATGATTTTAGGCAATTGGCCATCCAATTAAGTGAGCCAGTTAAGTGAGCCAGATCTGTGACCATAATGAAGTATATTGATCTGGGTGTAAAATTACAATGTTTCCAATTTTCATTTGAGATATTTTAATCCCTTGCAAACTATAATATTGTCAAAACTGAACTTCTAAAAGGAATACCAATCTAACAAGCAGTTGTCATGCAAGATATGCCCACATTTGGACGGGAAACAAGGAAATCAATAGGATTCATCCTCACATTGTCCACCCCCCCCCCCCCCAAAAAAAAAGGGTTAAAAGTTGTAGGTTTTCGGAAAAAGGGAGATAAATTCGGAACGGCAGGTGACGGATCCCTGAATATCGATAGTGTTTGCCCATTCATGGATCCTTGAATATCGATAGTGTTTGTCCATTCATGACCCTAATGCTAAACAATTGTTGCTTCACTCTGTCTATAGAGTCAAATCACACATACTTAATGAATGTGAATATATAGTTATACATAAAAAACACTCAAAACAGTGATATTATGGTAAAATCATAACCATTGTCAAGATATCCATCAAATTCTGGCTATTAATTGACCTATGGTTGGTAGACCAAATAAGGTAATGGCTCCTCCTTTAATCCTGTGAAATAAAGAGGTTTATTCCATAGTTGGGATGGAAATTAACATCAAGGTTATCGAAGACCTGCAGAAATTAGGGTGTAGAGCGAGTTGGATCAGAGCTCATTCAGAAATTCCTAGCAGCCCATATTATTGAGAATGAGGAACCTTCAAAGTCATTACAGCTTAGCAATAAAGTTGTAAAACCATTGATGCTGTAATCTTGTTACGATCACGAAGAAACAAACACAACAAGAAAAGAAGTCCGATAGTACTACAAAAGGGGGGTAAGTTCGGAATAGAATATCAATAGTGTTGGGCCACTCATAATTCAAATGCTTCAGACCAAATATTAAATGTAACCAGAAACTTACTAAGAGGTGGGGTAACAGGGGTTGAACCAGTAGTCTGTGTGGTGGTAGATGTTGTTCCTGTTCCTGTGACTGCAGGTACAAAGCACCCTAAAAGTTCCAGTCGCAGGGCAATGGAAGTCTCAAAAGTTACTGGGTAAACTCGAACAAAGCGGGCAGAGATTTTTTGACCAAAAATTTGTGTTTTGGGTGTTTCGTGGTCAATATTTCCAGCAAATATAAGTGGTGTTGTTTTGCCAAAGTCAGTGATTGGGATAAAGTTTACGCCGTCCAAACTAGTACGGACTATGTAGGATTTAACCCACTGATTATGACCTGGTCGACCTTGAGTCACAATACCAGTGATGTTTTTGGGGTGAAGGAGATCAATTTGGATCCATTGTTGGTCATCTTTGAATCTGAAAAAAAACCATTAATAAGAATCAAGGTATCAATACAAGAATAATTTCTCTGTCTTGGAGTCAAGTAACTTTATTTTATACACATTTGCATTGGAGCCAATATTCCTAATAGTTATTACATTATCATATAATTATATTGTTGTTCCTGTATTCTTAAAATAAACCAGATCATGAAACCACAACCAGTTTTATAAGTATATCCTTAAAAATTGTATATCACACTAGTTTTAATTAGATTGGAACAACATTGTTAATAATATGGCATATTAAATGATAACTGCAAGAAGTTTGTACCAGACTTCAATCAATGTACACATAAAGTTTCACGTGAGAAAAATGCCAAATCAAATATAATTTCAACAAACAAGAACATATAAAAACCTGCTCATAAACCTACCTTGGTATCCAGGCTCCAACCATGCGACCATTGGCAACATTGTTTAATCTAGCTTGATTAGCTACAGTACTAAAATCATAACTTGTAGAAGCTGTGAACTGAACGTCTGTAATCTGAGATCTTTGTTCTAGTCCCATAGGATATTCACATTCTATAACATGAAATACAATTGGAGAAAGTTATTACTTGAAATTAGTATCTACTTTGGTTACCAGTATTTTATAATAGGGTACAAATTACTGTATCATTTTATTTGGAGTAGCAATTTTGCAAAGAATGTTTTTGCCGTCTTTCTGTGTAGCGATTTACTGATTTTGAGCAGCAGCTATGTTAAAAACTGTAGCCTCTATCACATTTACTGAGATTTTGGACGAGGTGGGTAACTCCGGAACTGAAACTCGCCGAATGCTCCTACTTACACTTTATTTATTTATCTGTTTATATTTATTTATAAATTAAGTTTTTCGAAATTCTATCTGAATTGTTGCCCTTAATTATTGTTAACTTTTTGACATTTTAACTCATAACGTCAACCGGCAGACTATTGTCGTCAAGAAACGCTGTTCAGCAAATGATTACCATTATGACCATCGCATATTTACATTGCATCTTTTTTGTAATTAATTGCTAAGATTTTTCTCTGTTTTATTGTAAGTTTGTTTTTCATACTGTATCATACTGAATACCTACTGGGTCCTACTTCTCATGGTTTGAAAAAGATTTTAAAAACTGTTGCCTAAAAAACCCATCAGAGATCTTTTGTATCTTAAGTATCATCTATATTCTAAGACAAATATTGTGGACTGTAGAGGTTCTACAAACCTTTTCATCCTGAACCTATATGATCAGATTAATCTGTCAAGAGAGTCCACAAACTGTGCACATAAAGGCAACAGGCATAACTCAAAACAGAAGATCTGATACACTACAAAATCAAATCTTTTCTCATGGGTTTCATATGAATTAGACAAAAAGTGTGGCTTCTGAAAGGCTCACAAACTCTGTACCAATTTTACATTCACCGTAAAAGGCAGGGAGCATAACTCTGCAACTGAATATGCCATGCACACCAAAATTGAAGTCATCCAAGATCCTGTGATCCTTGACATGTATGTGACGTTTCATATAAATCAGACATACATTGTGGCCTCAAGAGGGTCCACGACCTTGGAATACGTATTGCATGCTTTGCCAAAAGAGTTTATCCAATATTGGTTTATCTATATTGTTATATATGTTTATAAATGCTGAATAGAACTGGACAAGTTTAGAGTGATTTTAAATCCCCTCAAACGACACTCAGTGGGTATAACTACAGAAAAGTGAATGTCACCTAATTTTATAATATTTTAAATCAAGGAAACTCTGTGCTGTACAAGTCTTTTGTGCAATTTATACCTTTAATTGTTGTTCCCTCTGGAGTTGATCCTGTGGTTGTGTAGCCTGTAGTTGATTCAGTGGTTATTGGAGATTGTGTTTGTGTTGTAACTGTGAAAAAGAAAAGATCATTCAATATGAGACTTGGCAAAATACTTAACTTAACCTATTTATCGTACAATCAGGGTCAATTATCCAATGGTACGATTGTGCAAAAATCAAAAAGAAAAGGTATGGAATGGAGATAAAACGTCCAGTCAACACATTACATCAGTCATTTAGTTGTGTTTTACTGGGATCATGCATACAATATTAGGGAGGAAGTTTATCTGAAATTATCTGCACAGGTACACTGGCAGACTTTACTTTATCGCATAAGGCAAACAAATAAACAAGTGGTTGCCATGCAAGATATGCCCACATTTTGCAAGAGCAGGACAGAGAACTAGCTAAATAAGTAATTTTCGTACAATAAGGGGCCATATTCCAAGATATTACAGTCCAATATCGATAGAAACTGGTATCGTTGGATTATAAAAATACCCTTTAAGTTTCATCAAAATCGGATAAAAATTATGACCTGTAGATAGAGGGTCAACAAACTAAAAACATGATATATATGTACAATCTGGGGCCATAATTTATAAAGTTATAGTCTGATATATGCCAATATCGAAAGGAACTGAGAACTTTGGATATAAACCTATATTTCAAGTTTCGTCAAAATTATAACCTGTATATATAGAGAGTGTCCACAAACAAAATGTGAACAGACCAATGAAAACCTGCTGAATGTAGTAAAATATTACTTACCACTACAGTCACAGTAAAACTTGATGGAGTAATCCTTGCAACTACTGTCTGGCTGATCACTATCTAGACAAGTTACACCAGTTTTTCTATCACAAGTCATCTAAAATGACAAGTGGTATTCTATGATTGTGATCAGGTGTGTCTGATTGCAGCACATCTATGTCTATACTAACATCTTACAAAAATCGCAAGTCAATCCAAATATTCGTTAAATTTGTTTTGTTTTTTTAAATAACAAAAACCTTAGTTTGAGTTGAAGTGTAAAATGTATTATTCCTTACAAACAGCAGATAAAATTCAAATAGATTTATGGTTTCTGATCGACTGTCAGATTTTCAAACCCCCAAAAAATCAAACTGTAGCTTTATTCATTCAGATTGAAGTAGAAAGTTCAAAGCTAATCTTTACTCAAATGGTCGAGATATGGTCAGTGGAGCAGCTACATAATAATCTTAGATTATCCAATTAAACTTACATGTATCCAATGAATACTTATATATTGTCGACAGTGAAAACTTAAATGATTTACCTTCTGCCCTGTTGTTTCAGAATCTTTTCCAGTTTCTTCAACTCGACATTTTGCTCCTACAATATATTGGTCTCCACAGAAATTATTGTAATAACGTAACCTGACCATGGTTTCTATATCACCCCCATCAGGGCCGCCAGGTTTATCAACATTCATCCATGTAGTCCAACCAGGTGTACAGTGTTTATTAGCTGGTGAAGTGATTGTAGTATGTGATGTAGTGCTGCCAGTATTTAAAGTGGTGGAGCCTGTGTCAATAGATGGAGTACCAGTTGGAGTTATGCTTCCACCTGGAAATTGTTATGGTCAGATATTAAACATATTAGTATATTAATGTTAGTGCTGTACAGATGGACAAACTTGGTCCAGACAGCCAAATTTCAACTTTTTTTTAGTGTTTTTTTTATAAAATCGATGATAAATAAAGTATATTGTCATATTATTATCTAACAGATTATTCCTGTTAAACTAAAATTCATGTTCTGGGATTTTACTGTTGCATTCTTCAGTTTCGTATATTGTATTATAACTTATACACCAACAGAAGCATGCTGATAATCATTGTTTTCTGGTATATAATATTCAAAAGTCATACAGGCAGACAACAGAAAAATCTCCCAATACGAATTTTAGTCTGAAAGGCATACACAGAGAGCATATGGCTTCAGAAACTCCTGTGGGATCCAACTCCCCCGCGCCATTTTTGACTTTATGTACAAAAATTATAATTTACTATACTAAGTACTTGATGATCAGTCTGGAACCTCTGGAACTTACGTACCTACAATTAAGTGTCACAGAATTGAGTCCTGTAACAGTTCTCCAAGTTCGAAAAAAAACCTGACGTGGGGTGAGTAGAATCATAACATAGTCAATTGTTTATACATTTGCATTCTTAATTGTAAATAAAACAGTTGTATGAGTCATTGACGTAGAACATGTTGTAAGCAGTTGTTAAAGTCCAGTTCATTTGTAATAAACTGTATGTCCTCAAATGACATTTTTATATAACAAAATTATATGTTATTTCATAATCAACTGTTGTGCAAATAGAAATCGCAAATAGTCAGGGAAAAAATCAAACATAAGGAATTGAAAATGAGTATCCATTTTACCTATGAAACAAACATAGGCTTGTTCTATACAGAAATTTCATTTGATGATGCATGGTTGGGTCGAAATCATAATATATACTATTCAAAAAAAGTAGGGGATATTTGATTTTGGGGGCATAATACTAAAATATGCAAATGACTACGAAAAAAGTCACTATAGAACCTAACAGAAGAAACATTTCCAGTTACATGTGACACCCAAACGCACCAATAGCTACCGCATGGAATGCAGGTGATGCTTGGGATCATCATGGGGGTCCAACCCAAGATTTGCACGACTCTGACTTTGAATGTTACAGTCATTGTGGCATTGAATTCCAGGGTGGAAACATCAGTTTAATTGTTTTAGTGACCAGAAAACAAATTTTGATATGCGCCGGCTTACCCAAAATGAAAGGTTACGTGCCCTTGGCATGCTACAGATCGGCACAACACAGGCGGTTGTGGCGCGGACGATGAATGTTTCTCAGTCTGTCATAAGCAGGCTATGGTCCAGATACCGTGATACACAATCTGTACAGGACAGACCACGCTCAGGTCGACCAAGGGCGACAACTCAAGCCCAGGATCGATTTATCCGTACCTTGGCCTTGAGAAATCGTGTCATCACAGCAAATCAGATCAGCGCTCGTCTTCAAACAGACACTGGTGTGAGAGTGAGTGGCCAGACGATTCGGAATCGACTGCATAGGGGTCACCTTCGCGCCCGACGTCCTCGCGTGATCCCTTGTTTGAGAGATCATCACATTCAGGCAAGACGTCGTTGGTGTAGGGATCGTCAACACTGGGATAATCGACGCTGGAGCAATGTGATGTTTTCAGATGAGTCAAGGTTCACTGTTGATTTTTTGGACAGACGTAGGAGGGTGTGGCGTCGTCGAAACGAGCGCTTCCAAGACGTTAACGTCATCAGACATGATCGATTTGGGGGTGGTTCTGTTATGGTGTGGGGAGGCATCACTGTTGCTGGAAGAACGGCTTTACATGTTGTTGCAGGGCGTGTTACAGGCCAGTACTACCGGGACAACATCTTGGCAGTCCATGTTGTGCCGTTCGCACGACGTCATGGCCGCCGTTTCATCTTCCAGGATGACAACACAAGATGTCACAGGGCCAGGATCGTTACAGGTTACCTCCAACAACAGAACATCACCACATTACCTTGGCCAGCACTGAGTCCCGACCTCTCCCCCATCGAGCATGTCTGGGACATGCTTGGACAGAGGTTACGTCAACGTCAACAACCTCCTGCCAATGTCCAAGAACTTGCTGCTGCGTTGCAACAGGAATGGGACAATCTGGA